GGAGGAGTGGCGATTGCTCGTAAGGCGCATAACATCTGCCCACAACAATGATGCTGGATGACGACCACGACCGCTCTGACAAGAGTGATACGACATACGATACGATACTTAAAACATAGACACGATTCCTAATGTGAAAATAAAAGTTAGTTACACAATCTTTAAGACGTTGATAGATCTAGGTTTGTAGATTAACACGACAATGTGAACGTGGAACGCCATTCTTGATAAGCGACTGCTTCACTGCAAAATTAAGGAGGATATTGATATTGACACATACAGGCTTTGCGCTCCTATTGGTGCTTGTTTTGTATGGCTTACATTATATTGCCGTATAATTTTATACCAATGCTTTTATTTATTGGTGTGAGGGTGTCTTGTGAGTCCACAAGGATACTCCCGCCCAGTCAATTTCTGCCGTGAGGCATAAATTCGAATTGCTTTGAAGGGTGAATACTCTACCCATGTCTCGTTTGAAGAAGGACGTGTTATATATTATAGCGCTCGGAAAACAGCGTAGATAGGAATTCCTTCAGATCTCAAAAATCTCTATCGCCTATTATTCGTCTAGATATATAAAAAAATATATTTTTAAATTACGTATTTGCCTTAGAATCGTAATATGGCATCATCGCATCTTATGTAAAGTACTTATACGACAGGCGTGACGTATTTAGATACAAATAAATACGTTTTGTTGGTCAACAAAGATCTATTCTTCGAAATCACGTCCGATCAAAACCAAAGTTTTAATCCTTTGAGGAAGTATTTTAGTCTGCGTTCTATGAAACTTATTGGAACTATTAAAGTCTTATAATCTCTTGTTCGTGATGTGAATTTAACAAAGCTTAGTACGTTAATTGTTGACGTCTATAGTTTCCAAACTAAGCGCTGTACAAAGGGTTTTGAACGTTGATTAGTTTTCACCATAAAATACGCAATTTGGAACGACAATTTTATGAATGTTTTCAGTTTGTTACAAGCCATTGAGGCTATTTTATAGATTTATTCCAATAGTCATTACCAGAAAATTAATGGAATCTTCAGAATTGGACAAATAAATCCATAAAATGAAGATAAAAAACATTTTGTTCAAATATACTATAATAAATAGTTTCATTATAATATAATATCAAAGACTGAAGATCGAGAAACAAAATACTAAAGGTATTCACGAAATACGGTACCTTTTATTCTGTCTTTTTATTAGTATTGTAATACACCGAATAGTTTCTTTTGTCTGAAAATAAATGGGATGCTTTGTGCTTCTCAGATATGTATGAAATAATGGGAGGAGATAAGCTAAGAATTACGAATTCAACGCTTTCAGTGCTTTTATTACGATTTTATCCGATACGCTTGTTTAGAAAAACGCGTTTAAATTGATATTTTTATTTACTAGTCTGGTAAAGAAGCAACAATGTATCTTTTGAAGTATTTAATTGGTTTTCTTACGACGGGTAGGATTTAGTAATTATTAATTATTTCAACTTGTTTTCACTTTTATTTCAAAGGCATGTTTTTTTTTTTCGAATTAAGTGCCGGGTAAAAATCGAAGGAATTAGCGACCCCAAATATTGAATTAATTTTATAGTTGAATTACATATATGTATATCGATTTAAGGGTATAATTAGGCTTCAAGTTCTGGCTGGATAGTTAAATTTATTAGAAGCCAGTTTTATAAATAGAAGGCCGTGTTCTATTCGCATGATCGTTGATTATTTTATTCATATCGATGATTTTATTGCATAAATGGAATTACAGAGATAATAAGCATTTTTTTTATTGCTTAGGTGGGTGGACGAGCTCACAGTCCACCCGGTGTTAAGTGGTTACTGGAGCCCATAGACATCTACAACGTAAATGCGCCACCCACCTTGAGATAAGTTCTAAGGTCTCAGTATAGTTACAGCGGCTGCCCCGCCCTTCAAACCGAAACGCATTACTGCTTCACGGCAGAAATAGGCGGGGTGATGGTACATACCCGTGCGGACTCACAAGAGGTCCTACCACCAGTAAATATATATATCGATTTAAGGGTATATAAGTAGGCTTCAAGTTCTGCCTGGATAGTTAAACTAATTAGAAGCCAGTTTTATAAATAGAAGGCCGTGTTCTATTCACACGATCGTTGATTATTTTATTGCATAAATGGAATTTCAGAGATAATAAGCATAAACAAGGATTTTATAAATGAAGTCATAGATCAAACTATATAAATATACTACGTGGGTTCGGGCGTGCGTAAGCGGGAGCTGTTTTTTTAAAATTGGAAATGAGAGTTAAATAGTAATGTTATTGGAGTTACTTTTAGTATGATTACAACAACAATTAAATTGTGTTTTTGGCTGTAACCCTGTAAGTAATTCTAGTTAATTATTTCCCTGCCAGTTCGATCGATGGTTTATACCTTCATCGATCAATCTAGTTTTCGGATCAGAACATAACTGAGATATATATATGGCTCGGAGAAGTGCTTATATACTGGTTAATTGAGCTGCGAACATGTTATGTTTTGACGTATGCATGTGCCGTTATAAGATAGATAGAACTGGGACTTTTAAATTATAATTTGCATGATTACTGGTGGTAGGATCTCTTGTGAGTCCGCACGCGTAGGTACCACCATCCCGCCTATTTCTGCCGAGAAGCAGCAATGAGTTTCGGTTTGAAAGGTGGGGTAGCCGTTGTAACTATACTGAGACCTTAAAACGTATATCTTAAGGTGGGTGGCGCATTTACGTTGTAGATGTCTATGGGCTCCAGCGGACCACTTAACACCAGGTGGGCTGTAAGCTCGTCCACCCCGATAAGCAATAAAAAAAAAACATGTCACAAGGTTTATGTACGCTGTAAATCTATTTAAAGTGATAAGCAAACTTAGCTCATGAAGCCTTGTTTCAATCAAATTAGCTTCGAATCCATTTGGTAAATTAAAACCCGTAATGGATGTGACGTTGTCCGCCGTTTTGTATTCATCACTTGGCTCGAAGCTACGCGTGTATCCTTTTAGTAGAGAGGGTCTTAATGGTCTGATTGCGGTATTAACGGAATCGATACCACAGAATCGATTAGTTGTTTTTATGTAACTTCCTAAAGCGGTTTAGTACTTTAGATTTTTTGTTACTAGCCGAGTGAGTATATTATATTATAATGAGGGCGTATCTGCGATAACTGGGCCGTCGGTGATCGCAAAATTTTTTATTTGCAATATGTTGACCCCACCTTGCTAGCGGCAAGAGGAGCAGAAATGACCAACTACTTAGATAGTATGGGGTGCATCAGCACTGAACCGGGACTCTCGATAAACAGGTCCAAAACCAAGATCATGGTCATAGATCGTACGGGCAAGATTTAGCTCACAGAAAAACTTGACTTAGAGGTAGTTGACAACTTTGTATACCTGGGCGCAAAACGCAATCTCGATAGTCGTTGCCGATCTTGGGACATGACCGTATTAATTTATTAGACTGAAGGCTTTTATATTATATGAACTGGAAATTATAAATCTCTCGTAAAAAGCAGATCGCCGGTAACATACTGATGGTAGGACGTCTTGTGAGTCCGCTCGGGTTGGTACCACCACCTTGCCTATTTCTGCCGTGAAGCATTAATGCGTTTCAGTTTGAAAGATGGGCAGTCTTGTACTGCAAAAATTGAGACCTTAGAACTCAAATCTCGAGGTGGATGGCGGTATTTACGTTGTAAATGTCTATAGGCTCCGATAACTACTTAACACCAGGTAGGGCCGTAAGTTCGTCCATCCGTCTAAGCAATAAAAAAAAATTATCTATCCGTGTGGGCTTAAAGAACTTCCCAAGTACCAGTGGAATTCACAATAGATAAATGCAAATTAATAAAAATGACTGACGCTTTTTTGTCAAGTATTCATATTAGCATCTCATAATTCAAATCAATCTGAATTAAAAACTATCGCGACTTGAAAGGTATCATGGTATTGCGTAAATTAAATATAACAAAAGTATTCACAGCGTTTTCACAGATCGCAAAAGTAGAGTTTCTGTGCATGCGATATTCCGACCAACAATTTTTTCCAACTGACTGAATCCGAAACGTGTCCCAATTGCTAACGTCTGTATAAAAATATTATGGATATTTTATAAAAGAACTTATAATGCTATGCTTTCATGAAGTTTGTATAAGCCCCACACTCAGAACTTTTCATAAGCCGTTGTTGATGCTTTTCGCTACGTCAAGTGCAGTTCAGAATTTGTTCCATACATGTAGTTTTTTTTTGTTATTTCGTTGTTTTTGTTAGTAATGAATTGTTATGAAACATTTTTTTAGTTACGATTTTTACTATCAAAATGAATTGAACTTACTGCACACCTAGTGATAAAAAGTTGTTGTAACTTGAATCTGGCCATCGTTAGGGATATTTTTTCAAAACCACGCTCGAAAAAAATGATATCATATGGCTTGTGAGATCCTCTGATGTGCAGATGTCGGAGCCTAATTTTTTGTGAATCCGGTATTAATTCAGTTCTGGTAGTGAGTTTTGCAATGGTGAAAATATATTTGAGGATCATTTCAAATAACTCCACGAGCACACACGAAATAACATACCGTACAAAACGTAGAGGCAAAAATTCTCCGTATACTTAAAGTGTATCTCTATAATTTGCCTATTTGTGAAGTTAATAAAAATCAAACCCGCAAATTTTAATTTCCGTAATTACTGGTGTAGGACCTCTTGTGAGTCTGCGCGGGTAGGTACCACCACTCGGCCTATTTCTGCCGTGAAGCAGTAATGCGTTTCGGTTTGAAGGGTGGGGCAGCTGTTGTAACTATATTGAGACCTTAGAACTTATATCTCAAGGTGGGTGGCGCATTTACGTCGTAGATGTCTATGGGCTCCAGTAACCACTTAACACCAGGTGGCCTGTGAGCTCGTCCGCCCATATAAGAAATAAAAAAATTAAAGTTGAAGAAGTTGTGTTTTTTTTGTTCAATTTCTTAGCATATTTACCATCCACAGCATTGCCCCGAAGCTGCATTAGTATCAGCCCGGGTGCTTGCTGCCGAAGGAACGCCGGCAACAAGGTCCGCTTCCGGAGTGGAGAGGCGTCCATCAGCGCCACGACCTCCTCTTTGTAAGAGAGGAAGCGGTTCTCTACTCGCGCAATCTCCGCCACAGTCTAAGTAAGTGCAAAAGTTTTTATAATTATTATGTTAAAAATATAAGAAAATGGATCTTCGAGTAATGTTAATGTGTAAAGGTAATTTATTTTTAATCATCAGAGTGTTGTGTTTGTGAGGTTCGCGACAAAGTTCTCGCTATTTTTTTAATAATAAAAATGTAACTTTATTCTGAAAAAATTCGAAAGCTTCGGCTGTATGAACGATTTGATGATCTTTTTCATCTTTATGGCAGAGTTTGAATACCTTAATTTAACAATTTATGACAGAAGAACATGACTTATTCTAAAATTTGTGTTCACAGCCCACCTGGTGTTAAGTGGTTACTGGAGCCCACAGACATCTACAACGCAAATGCGCCACCCACCTTGAGACATGAAATGTAAGGTCTCAGTATAGTTACAACAGCTGCCCCACCCTTCAAACCGAAACCCATTACTCGCTAGATTAGCATGCACCAGACGTCTTATCCTATAGGCCACGACGACTTCAGACTTACAGACTTAGCTTGTAGGCTTCAACCCGGGACGAATGATTTAGACCCGCGTGGGCTTAAAACACATCTTACCACTATTCCTTAACGACTAAAGATTAAAAGGTGTCACTTAATCCATTGTGGACAGTATTGACAGGGAAAATTATGAAATTTACGTTACAAAATATTTTGTCCGTCCAACTAATGAGTAACTAACCAATTATTTATTTATTTAACTTAATGCACAGAAGTACAATAGCGGGCTTAATGCCTGAGGCATTCTCTACCAGTCAACCAAGGGTGGTGTAGAGAATCCTGTGGTAGGTGGCACAACCTTATGTGAAAATAACCAAACTAATAATAATACTTCATACATATACAAACACATACACGGTGTATACATATATATAGGTATATAATCACATTAGCAGGTTATTAATAATTTTCGGACTTTATATTACATTTGTTTCAATACAAAACGAAAAAAAAAGCGGAACGCAATGAAACAAGAGATACAAAATCATTTCGTAAATCCTTAAAATGAATGCCATTGAGTCCAAGTTTAAATTACAAGAAAATCTTACGTTTTTAGAATTCGCTGCGCAATTATTTAATACGGGATTTGCTCGGTGAGATTTATCAAGGAAATTAAATCGTCTCGGAGCCTTGACAAGCTCGGGAAATTCATTTTAACGGCATCCGTAAGCCGGGCCGTGATTGCTGAGTTCTTATTGAACACTTTAATTTTAATCAAAGCGATCTGTCATAAACTATGTCTTCACTTTATCGGATAGTATTATTCTTAAATGAAAATTGTTTGCAAATATATTTGTAAAATTATTATGATAAGACTGTACCGAGCCTATATCTTTACTTTGGATTTTAGAATAAAATTTTGTATTTTTAACTTTACCTTCTTCGCTAAAGCCACAAATATTTTTTAACTATGTGTATGTTTGTTTTGTTGGAACCTAAAGATTAGTAAAAAAATATAAAATTTTACCAAAACACAACTTCATAATGTTGCTTAATGGATCAATATTTAGTGAGATATATCTACCTACGGTATTAAATGTTTTTGCTTTCGCTTGAAATTTTCGACTAGAAATATTGGAAAAATATTGTTTCTGGTTATTTGATTATAGCATCTAAGACAACGTTTTTAAATGGCAATTGCGTATTAATTGAATCACAAATTGTAAATGTAATTCATACAAAAAAACAATTCCTTTGAAATTGTTCTTTATCCTGAAACAATCCTATTGATTGAATGTTACGATCAACACGAGCTCAAGGATTATATTCTGTAAGCGTTGAACAAGCCTAAGCCAATATTTAATCTACTAAACTTCTATCGCGAGCACAATGTTTATTTTTGTACGATTTGCTTCTAAGCCTTTCTAGAACTTTAGTTGGCAGTACTAGAATTACTTTCATATGTTTATGTTATCAATTATTTTAATTATTATCATTATATTAATTTTATTTATATTATATTTTTATTATATTAATAAGTATCAGGTACTTGTTTCAAGTGATCTCAATAATTTCAGTAATTACGCTACTTAATGATTTTTGTTTCATTTTAAATCAGGAGTTTGTTCGTGCAAGTCCCGGGTATATATTTGATACGTATTTAATTTACACAATCTCCTATAAACATCGTTGCAACAAAAAATAATAACATTACATTCCAATTTAGAGCCTGTCGTTCTCATATTATGAATGTTCATTGTATTTGCTTATTGTCGCAGAGTTGTGTGCGCGTGGCTGGAAAGGATCCTTTGTGACTTTATCTGGCCGTTTTTTATTCTCGATTTTAATACGCTTCATTGTAATTTATGATCTCTTTCAAAGAATATAAGCAAGTCCTATATGATAATTATATTTTTCAAAAACAATCCCTAACATTGGCTGCGGTTGGAAAGTAGGTGTTTCAATCTATACAAATGGTCATAATGCCTTAAGAGGCCGTATGCTTGAAGAGGCCGTGTTAAGGCCAATAAAAAATATTTTGAATGAGTATAATACTTTTAGAAAACTATTATATTAAACAAAGGAACGGTGCAGTGATAAATATTTTCTGTTATAGATAGAAAATAAAGACTTTTCAGGTGAAACTCTTTCTGGAAAGATTAAATATATAGGTATGTACTACACATACTGGTGTCTTGTACATAAAGTTATTGGTGTTTCTTAATATTAATTTGGGACTTATAATATGACTATAACTTATATTTAAATCAGAATTAAAAAAATAATCTAAAAAAACATTCATAAATATTTAAATCGTCAAAACAAGTCCATTCTGTTCTATTTTGCTAAGGAATTTTTATTTTGTAAACAAGATGAGATTAGATTGATGTTTGTAACGGAATATAGTAGCGTTGCCGAGGAGGCTTTATAACAAAATCCAATTAGTAGTTAGAATTCTATAAGATTTCATTATGTCACACATTTCGAGTGGTATTATTACTGGTGGTAGGACCTGTTGTGAGTTCGCGCGGGTAGGTACCACCGCCCTGCCTATTTCTGCCGTGAAGCAGTAATGCGTTTCGGTTTGAAGGGTGGGGCAGCCGTTGTAACTATACTGAGACCTTACAACTTATATCTCAAGGTGGGTGGCGCATTTACGTTGTAGATGTCTATGGGCTCCAGTAACCACTTAACATCAGGTGGGCTGTGAGCTCGTCCACCCATCTAAGCAATAAAAAAAAAAAAAAAAAATTGTGAGTCCGCACTGGTAGGTACCACCACCCTGCCTATTTCTGCCGTGAAGCAGTAATGCGTTTCGGTTTGAAGGGTGGGGCAGCCGTTGTAACTATACTGAGACCTTACAACTTATATCTCAAGGTGGGTGGCGCATTTACGTTGTAGATGTCTATGGGCTCCAGTAACCACTTAACATCAGGTGGGCTGTGAGCTCGTCCACCCATCTAAGCAATAAAAAAAAAAAAGAGTGGAGGAGTTTTAATTTTAAGTAGCACAAAAGTTAAAACATTACGTTGTGTTTTTTGTGAAATATGAGCTAAAGGATGTTAATATTGAGACGGTTCCATTGTTTATTTATCTATTAAGCATTAGTAATAGTAACAATAAACGTTCCGTATTTAATGAATCTAAGGTAGGAATTTTCTGTTATGAATATAGAAAGGATGAAAAAGACAAGAAAAAGTCAATTCAGAACTTTATCCAAGGAATATTTTTGCTTCGTACCGTCTGGTTCCGGAATAAACTCCCCTTCACGGGGCTTCCTATACAAGATTTACTCCTTCAAACGAACTTCAAAAAGATTCTTGAATGGTATATAGCGGCTTCACTAGTATTCCTGATATCCTGGAGACCCCGTGTCGACCTACCATGAGGTAGGCTGTGTACTCGTCGGCATTAGATGTTTTCTAACAGAAATGATCATAGTAGTTTATCCGTTCGGTGATTTGCTATATCATTTACGTACAAGTTTTACATTAATAAAAAATACTTTTAAACTAGTGGTAGGACCTCTTGTAAGTTCGCGCGGGTAGGTACCACCGCCCTGCCTATTTCTGCCGTGAAGCAGTAATGCGTTTCGGTTTGAAGGGTAGGGCAGCCGTTGTAACTATACTTGAGACCTCAGAAATTATATCTCAAGGTGGGTGGCGCATTTACGTTGTAGATGTCTATGGGCTCCAGTAACCACTTAACACCAGGTGGGCTGTGAGCTCGTCCACGCATTTAAGCTATAAAAAAAAGATAGTTTTCATAATCTCTATTCATTTTAATGAAGTTTGCTTTACACATATTATATATTATATATTATCGTAAAGTTATTGAGGTTTAAGAATGAATTATGCTATACGTATTATATGTGTGTAAGCGTGTGTGATAAAATATTGAGGTTTCGTGGTTTTCCGAAGGCTCACTGTCAATATTTGGCTTTGCCCAAGGTTTCATTACGGAAGCAATCTATTCGACGCTCCGCTAGGAATACAATTTTCATTTTGGAAAGCTCATCCAGTACGCTTGTTTTCTTTCGAAATTACTTTTTTACGTGACTCGTGTACGCTTTTGGTCCAATTCTAATTGATCTTTTATGTTGCGGGGCAATGAATATGCTTTATGAAAGTACTAAGATCAAGCTATGTTAGTCGCCACCGTAAAGTGGAAATACATGGTAAAGTGGACCTTGACATGTCTTTGATTTCAGTCCAAGAATGTCGTTTTCCAGTTAACGTCATTAATATTATTCGTTAAAAAAAATTATTCACTAGCTTTTCGCCCGCATCTTCGCCCGTGACGACTACGCTTTTTATATTTCATGCGAGACTCGTGCGAGATCCGTGCTCAGCAGTGCAATGAAATACTTTATTTTACCCGCACGGGTAGGTATTACCACATTGCCTACGTAATGCGTTCTGGTTTAAAAGGTGGCGTATACGTTGTACTACATATATAGAACTGAGATTTACAACTCATGTCTCAAGCTGGGTAGCAGCAATTCAGTTGTTGATATCTATGAGCTCCGGTAGCCAATTAACAGCAGGTCAGCCGTGAAACAATAAAAAATATTTTAAATATTTTAAAAACATTAAAAATAATTTTATATCTCAGGGTTCAAACTATTTTCATACAGAATTTTATCAAAATCAGTTTGTGGTTTGTTTGTCAAAATCTAACATACAAACAGAGACAATTTCGTTTTGTTAAAATTATTTGATATGAAACTTCTAACACTTTATATGAACACCACAGGAAAATCCGTTGACCAGGATCATGAGAACAAGATGTTGAGAGGATTAGGAGTATGATTATGATTTTGTTTGCTTATTGCAAACGAAAAGATAAAAAATATGATAATTAAAAACGTTGCTATTTCTAATTCACTTCACTTCTTTAGTTGTCCCTTTATTATTCTTATCAGTAACCTTCAATGTAGAGACACCGAATCCTACTGTTTTATTATATGCATTGACTAGTTTTTTGAATGTCAAGTAATAAAATTCCAGTCTATTTTTTGTCTTCGGCTTGCGCTTGTAAACAAGGTGCAACCTTCACACATGCCATTAATAATTAAGCCAGTTATGCTGCGTGGAACCGGTGACCTCTCGTGTGTGAAGAATGCATCACACCGCTGTGTCATGAGCGCGTTTGAATTAGAATAAAATGTATTATATTGTAGTTCCTTTCGGTAGCGCGACATGTTTATTGTTGAACTGGTATCAATCGTAAATGCCCTCATTCACGTTGCGACTTCAGATCTTCTTATTTTTCTTCTTCGTCCTAGCGTTTCCCAGTGTAGTGCCAGGATCGGTTTTCCAACTTAAGCTCCTTCATTTTAGCCGCTCTTTAGGTCTAAGCCTTAATAACAGCGTTGTATTACGATAGGATTTCCTTTTAAACCGACAGGGTAGAATACTTTGCGATAGACATTTTCAGGACGATGGCACTTGCGGACTCATAAGTGAAATAGAAATTATTAACACGCTTTTATTAGCGTCATACGGATGTTAGTATGTATGTATGTAACGGAAAATTTGAATATGGTTTTTACCCCCTTCAAAACGTCAGATTAACTCGAAATTTGGCATACTTATGAAGGACTGATAAAAATTCAATATTTTAAACAGTTAGACCCGTTTTCCTTACTAGACTAATTAGGATTAACCCTTTTTTTGTTGGGACTAGTTCCCATTTTTAATAGCTCTTCCACAATATTAACAAAACCTAATTCAACCGCTGTACAAATTAATAGCTTATTATTGACACGTTGATGTTTAATTGTAACATCGTAGTGAATATAGTATATCGTATATCGTGTAAATAGTTTCAAAAACTAAAAAAGAAGCTTTTAAAGAAGTAGAAAAAGAAAAAAAAATTGCAGAAAAAGTTTTTTTTTTTTAGTCGAGTTTCAATTCGTTTATTAAACTATTTTACTGCTAGGAGGTAGGACCTCTTGTGAGTCCGCACGGGTAGGTATCATCACCCTGCCTATTTCTGCCGTGAAGCAGTAATGCGTTTCGGTTTGAAGGGTGGGGCAGCCCTTGTCACTGAGACCTTAACACTTATATCTCAAGGTGGGTGTCGCATTTACGTTGTAGATGACTATCCAGTAACCACTGAACACCAGGTGGTCTTGAGAACGTCCACCCAATTAAGCAATAAAATTTTTTTTTAGTTTTTCTTCTTATTTACTAAGTATAAGGGTGAACGAGCTAAGGGCCTATCTGGAATTAAGTTCTTATCGGAGCCCATCGCTATCACAGCGTGATTGCTGCCAGTCAGCTTGAGACAGGAGGTCGAAATCGTAATTGTACTGTACAATGGCTGTCTCAAGCCGGAACGCTTTATTGTTGCTTGTCAGAAGAAAACATGATTAGATAGGGAAATGAGATAGGGATATTACTGTCAATTACCAAGGTTCTCCTGCGTTGCATATTAAATATTCTTTGAATGAATTGAGTAAAGTTATTCAATTTTTGCTTTGCCTTGCTTTGGAATGAACTCCCCTCCACGGTGTTTTCCGAGCGCTATGACATGTCCTTCTTCAAACGAGATTTGCGGAGAGTACTTTATGGTAGGCAGCGGCTTGGCTCTGCCCCTAGCATTGCTGACGTCCATGAGCGACGGTGACCACTTACCGTCAGGTGGGCCGTATGCTCGTATGCCTACAAAGGCAATAAAAAATGAAAATAAATTAAATTGAATTTTAAAATGTTTGAATTTGTAAAACGTTACTTCATTTTCGAAGAATTAATTTTAGAGAAACTTTAATAAAATTCGTAATTAAACTTTCGTGTCATGTCCCTCAAAAAGTTAGTGACCTTTCTTTCAATTAAGGCCCCGTTAAACTAATTTAACAAAATCGAGAACAGAATGGAGTTACGCATTTTACTCTCGACAGCTCAGAAGTAAAATAATTGTCTCTTATTAAGTTTACTTTTTCTCAATTGTATAATGGATAGACGAAATGTTTTCTTTTGTTGCCCGTGAATTTTTCGTTGAACAATTAATGAGTTTATCAAACAATTTGGATGTTAATTAAAACTTTAATTAAAACTTCTGAAAGATTATAAGCTACAAACTGTTTTAATCTATACGGTTGCGAATAGAATTTAGTATTATATGAAACAATGACAATAAAAAATAACACAATGAGAGTAAAAAACGCTAGATAATATCGTAAAAATATTAATAATTATAATATTAATAATAATTTGTACTTATCTTATCTTATTATTATTATTATTTTTATACCTTCAAATGAGCAGTTCTTGTATATATATAATCGGAATCTCGGAAACGGCTCCAACGATTTTCATAAAATTTAGTATACAGGGGATTTCGTGGGCGATAAATCGATCTAGCTACGATTTATTTTCAGAAAATGTTGTTTTATTCGTGTTTTCAATAATCAACTCTTCCCGACATCTATTGGCGAATAATAATACTATTTTTCTTAATGGAGGGCAACTAACCGCTTTAAAGACACAACAAGATGGCGTTAGTATTAACTAAACTTCAATTATTATTCTCAGATACCTCTGGATTCGTATAGCTCTATTCGAGAAGCAGCTGGCAAAAATCATTGAGCATTTAGTGACGAATGCTACTCGTTATTATGAACGTGATGCTCTAGTGGCCGACCCTGACTACGGCAGTATTCTTAGTTCACTGCTAGTAGGGCCATGCGCGCTAGAATATTCAAAGGCTAAACCACCGGTTACATTCTGGACCGATCCACCAGCTGATGAATTGGTGAGTATACCTTTTTCTGCTTCTTAGTCGTACAATCTTGACAGAGCGGTCGTGGTCATGCATCAGTTGAAATCCTGCGATACCGATGCGACGCCATGCGATGTTTCGCAGAGTGAGAGCAATCATTTATGTTGGAGTGAGTCACAGATTTTATGAGGTCGTTCCTTCATGTTGGAGATCGTCCGCGAGATCTTTTGCCCTCGACTTTCTCTTGCGCGACCAACCACTCAATGGAGTCCTCATTATGAGCGATGTGCCCGCATAACTGGAGGATTCGTATTTATATATAAATAACTATATTTATAGTAGTATAGTCAGTATACATATTAAAGTAATAATAGTGTTTTGTAATCAATATAGAACATATCAAAAGCTCTAAATAAATCGAATAAATTCTAGCCGTATTTGAGGGTTGGTACACGAATGAAAGCAGGATTTATGAAATATTAATTTTCTTATTCATTTTCAGGTTCAAAGACATCGTATGTCAGCGGGTACAACGACACCGCCTTCAGTTCGAAGACCGATTTTGAACTTTAAAAGGAGTCTAAATGCCTCGTCTGACGATAGTTCGTCAGTCAACACAGGTAATTAGTATACAATAAAATAATTGAAGGTTTATTAAAGCCGAGTTTTTATCTTCTATTCTTCTATATATATATAAAAATGAATTGCTGTTCGTTAGTCTCGCTAAAACTCGAGAACGGCTGTGCCAATTTGGCAAGTTTTGGTCTTGAATTGTTTGTGGAAGTCCAGAGAAGGTTTAAATGGTGGATGAATATGAAAATGCTAGGAATGAAATAAAAATAACAATTTTGTTTTTCCTTTGATGTGTCCCCCGTCGGACGGATTCCTTTTGTTTCTTTTAAGTTTATTTTATACAAAAGTTTGGTCTTTTATTTATCGATTGAAGCATTACGAAGTCTGCCGGGTCAGCTAGTTGTAAATAAATTTTATACTCAAATTCGGCAATGAATGCGTTTAATTTTAATTGAATGTTTCTCAAAGAAAATTCTGGTAGCCTGATAAGGTTGAAGATTAATTTTAATTAATTTTATCACAGTTACGGGCAAGGGAACGACAAGTGCCAAAGATTACGTAGAAAGTTTACATCAGAATTCAACGGCTACGCTTCTATACGGAAAGAACAATGTTCGCGTACAGCCTGTAAGTTGTTATACATTTTGACTGAATCATTTTAATTTTTTTTTTCCCCTACCAAAGCTGGTAGCCTGGAGCGGCTATTCCAGCGTAACCGTGGCTAGTAAGTGAGCTCACGGGGCTCAAACCTGACGACGATGCTAACACGAACCCTAGCAAGAGCCGTGCTTCGCAGAATCTACCACCGGATCGGAAACGCGACCCACTGAGAAGATCCGGCGAGAAACTCAGTGGGCTGTGTCTGAGAGTTAATTTACTCGTCGAGCCCTTCGTCGCAAGCGACGGGTTCGACGAGAACGGTAACCGGTACATTTTCAGTTGTGTCTACACGTATTTATATCTGAAATGGAAAATTGCATTTAGATTTGACAATTTCACTATTACTAGTGGTCCCCTGGTAGTCGATATTCGAATATAATTAATTGAAATAATAAGTTTGTACAGTAATATGATTCTATTGTCAAAGACTATTATTATATTTCGATAATTACAGATTTCGCCAAGACTACACTTTAGACAAATATTATTAAAGACAAACAATATTATTCTATTCTCAATTTGACCACAGACTATAAGCAATAAGAAAAGTTTGACAATAAACAAATAGTATGCATGCGTGTGTGTGTCAAGTACATGGTAGTGTGTGTAACGTTTTTTTTTATTGATTTTTAATGCATATTTATGCATAATTTTTAAAAATATTGACATTCTGCACTTATTCTCTATATTTTCTATAAGTGTGGGAAATTTTATACTCCTCCGACCACACAATTTTGTTAAAAAGGGGTACAAAGTTTTTGCTTCACGTATTAATATCACTATTATAAAAGTGTAACTTTGACGTGCATGGATTCAAAATATAAGTTGAATTCATTGAGTGCTAAGTAAGCATTTCATAATTCGTTACTTATTTATTAATATTGTATATAGAAAGACGCAGAGGAACCCATGGCAGGATATTTGAGCCTTCACCAGACGGCGGTTGGATTGGTGATTAAATGGACACCAAATCAGCTCATGAATGGTTACGCCGAAAGCGAGAGTGTTGACAAAAGGTTTGTATCTCAATGAAGGTAGGTAGGTAGGTACTTACAAATATTTTTTTGAAATTAATTTGCACATTTTTTTTTCTGAGCATATTCCTTTGATATTGCCTGTCGTCTTCTGTATCTAGAATTATTTTAAAACTTTAAGTTTCTGCTACTTGTAGGATATTAATTATATAATACGTCGGCTAATATTTTTTCTTATCGGAAGGCAGCGGCCTGGCTCTGCCCCTGGCATTGCTGAAGTCCATGTGTGACGGTAACCACTCACCATCAGGTGGCCCGTATGCTCGTCGGCCTTCAAAGGCAATAAAAAAAGGCTCAATGTTACTTAAAGAACCATGGAGAGAGCTATGTTTTGGGGTGTTCCTGCGAAATCGAATCAGGAATGAGGAGGTTCGCAATTACAGCCGACATGGCCCGAAGGTTCCCGAGATTGAAATACCTGGACCGTTAGGACTAAAAAGAGTTTTAGTGTGGTAGTGATCGCGCACTGGAAGTCTTACGTAGTCATGTAAGCCGCCCAGTAAGCCGACGACCTACTGAAGGTGGCCGGAATCCACTGGAGGCGCGTAACGCAGAATCAGTCATTATGATGAGCTTACTGGAGGCGCGTAACGCAGAACCAGTCATTATGATGAGCTTCGTGGAGGGGCCTATGTCCATCAGTAGAAAGAAGCCTGTGAGCTGGCAATAAAATAATTTTCGTTAAACAAAATACAACTTATTTTCATATCCTGCTGGGGTAGAAGAAACTTTAAGTAATTACTCTTCCAGTAAGTCGCTTCTTAACTTTGTTTGTTGTTATCTACTTACTTGTTAGTTGTTCCCAAGTAGCACCCGGCTCACGAACCCTTCGTTACGTGAGGTTTTTTTTTTCTGCCGTTCGATTATGTATTGTTGGATTTACGTTAAAATTTCCTTACGAAAAGGGAGTTCTTGAAGTGAAAACTTCTTTAGAATCGTTGTGATTTCAAACCGGATGCAACGGAAAAAACGACAGGTAAGAGACACAAATACAAAAATGTGTAGGATGAAGCCAGCAAAGAATGAGACAGAAATATACATACTATTTAATACAGCGCCATCTGTGAGATTTTTTAATACTAACGTATGTATGAAAGCTCTTGTAGTGAATTTTAATTTAGNAGGATGAAGCCAGCAAAGAATGAGACAGAAATATACATACTATTTAATACAGCGCCATCTGTGAGATTTTTTAATACTAACGTATGTATGAAAGCTCTTGTAGTGAATTTTAATTTAGGATTATACGTGAAATTAAAATATCAATTCACAGAGGGCGCTACCTTACAATTATTTACTAATGACAAAATTTTACATATACATACTTAAGACGTTTAGGATAATTGTATTTTAATTTTGGAAGGTTTCACTTCTACCACGTGTGAATTGCACACATGTAATTTTTTTTTTTTTATGTGAATTTTTGTGCTACTTTTAAATTGTTACTTTATTTGTGTTTTTGTTATGTTTATTGTGAGTTGTATATTTAATGTAGTGCTTTTTACGTTAATTGTATAGTTTGTGTAGCTTGCTTCGCTGTCATCTTGTGCATGCGTCCGCCTGTCAACACACATGTGTTCTGTGCAGCACGAAGCCGTGTACCGTGTACAGGAGTCGCTGTGCCGGTCCCCTATGCGTCGACTGGTACGTAGCTTCTGGAACATGCCCACTGTTATTCAAAATCAATCAAACGTGGGCACGGGACGGGCCTCGGGGCAAACCCCACTACCCGGGCAAAAGCTCCCTGCCACGAAGAGCAGGGGGGGGGGTATGCTGCTGGGGGACATTAAGGGGGGAGGGGGGCTGTTCGCAGCGCGTTAGGCTGCAATTTTTTTTTATTGCTTAGAGGGGTGGACGAGCTCACAGCCCACCTGGTGTTAAGTGGTTACTGGAGCCCATAGACATCTACAACGTAAATGTGCCACCCACCTTGAGATATAAGTTCTAAGATCTCAGTATAGTTACAACGGCTACCCTACCCTTCAGACCGAAACACATTACTGCTTCACAGCAGAAATAGGTAAGGCGGAGGTACCTACCCGCGCGGACTCACAAGAGGTCCTACCACCAGTATGCAAATTATAATTTTGCGGGTTTGTTTTTTATTACACGATGTTATTCCTTCACCGTGGAAGTCAATCGTGAACATTTGTTGAGTACGTATTTCATTAGAAAAACTGGTACCCGCCTGAGATTCAAACATCGGTGCATCGCTCAACACGAATGCACCGGACGTCTTATCCTTTAGGCCACGACGACTTACAAATTATATCTATATATATACATAAATATAATACGATGGACATTGTGTGGAGTTGCACGGAGTGATGCCCGTGGACGGTACGCCACGGCGTCGGCTGCTGTCGTTTGCTTCTTTTTTTTATCTCTGGTTTCCCTTCAAAACGTATAAATCTTTCACCTCTTACTGTTATTCGATTCTTTTATTGTTATGTTTTTTTATTGTAACAATTCTTACGTAACTAGTTGGTTAAGTTTTTGCTAGCATCGGTAGGCGAGCAGGCAGTTAAAACGCAACAGTCGCATATGCCATTAACCATGTCAATTTATGCCGAACAGGTTGCCAATCGTCGCATGTTGCAAATGTTATGTTATTTACATTTTATGTGAAGACAAATTCGAAATGTACAGACAGTAAATTCACATATTTGTTCTTAATATCTTACATATTAATTTGAATGTCGAATGATTTTATCATAAATTAACGTCGATAAGATAAATATTAATTTTATATATATTTTAAATTAACATATTAAAATTTCGAATCACAATTAACGTATCTGGCCATATTATATTGTAATATAAATTACTAAGAACAACAAATTTTTATGTTGCACTTAAAATATATATTTGGTCGAATGTTTTTAATCAAATTCGAAACATGTCTTGAAATTAATTTCGTCTCAAAGCTATAAATTATGAAGCCCTCACCTGCGTAGTACAGTCAAATTTCGTTTTTGACGATTCGCTCGAGGTAAATGTGCTGCGATAGCTCATATTACTTTTGTAGGCATCGCTACGTCCACCAAATATCCTAAGCAGTGATTAAGTTACAAATTAATAAATATAAATCTCTATATATAAAAATGAATTGCTGTTCGTTAGTCTCGCTAAAACTCGAGAACGGCTGGACCGATTTGGCTAATTTTGGTCTTGAATTATTCGTGGAAGTCCAGGGAAGGTTTAAAAGGTAAATAAATATAAAAAAGCGCGGAATTATATAAAAACAATTTTGTTTTTCCTTTGATGTGTCCCCTTGATGTCTCTTTTATTTGTCGATTGAGGCACTATGAAGTCTGTCGGGTCAGCTAGTGGGATATAAATGAATGGGATGAAATGAAATATAAATATAAATTTCCACAGTGCGTTTCCATAGATCTTTTTTGCCACGTACCATCTGGCTTGGGAATGAGCTCCCCTCCACGGTGTTTCTCGAGCGCTACGACATGTCCTTCTTCAAACGAGGCTTGTGGAGAGTAGGCTTAATGATAGGCAGTGGCTTGGCTCTGCCTCTGGTTTTGCTAATGACCATGGGTGACGATAATCACTCACCATGAGATAGGCCGTCTGTCTACAAGGGAAATAAAAAGTATGTAAATGGGAATGTTACATTAATGTTGATCGGTTATTATTTTTTTGATCTACATAAAGAAGCACTGTAACTTTCTTGATCAATAAAATATATTTAATTACTCCCGCGTCTCAACGATTTAAAGCTTTAACGGTACTTACTACATACTTTGGAGAGGCTTAACGACGAAAGGAAAGATCTTCCAACGAGCTGGTGATATTTGCTCGGTAGACCGACGCGACGGTCCGAATGTTGTTGTTCTGAACTTGTATATATGCAAGCTTATCTTGAAAATGTCGTAAGCGAGATTCAGGCATCTGTCAAATATCTTGCGTTGTATGATGGCTACCCGCCACAATACGATACAAATTTCTTTACTTGAAGTACATTAAATCGGATTAACGACAAGGGAACGCACAAAAGAAAACAAAACTGCAAACATTCGTTTTTGCATATTAAGTAGCCATTAATACGATTGAGATTAAATAAACCAATACGACAAAATAATATTTACTTTTTCGAAACTAGTTTAAAACGAGTTGTGAACGCATAAAAATGTTTAAAAGTTCGGGAATAATTTTATGATAAAAACCAGCTCCTTGACAACGTACGTTGCTTCAATTATACAACATTTTTGTCGTTGAGTTTTTATTTTTATTTTTCATATCGATGCACGATTAACGATGCACCAAAAAAACCTGTCATCTCAATATTTTGCATTCACATTTGCGATGCGTAGAAAAAAAAAAAGAAAACAATATATCACTAATAAGAAACTGAGAAAGAACAGAATTTTATTTAAAACATGTATGAAGATTGAAAATTGAATTAACTGTTTTACATAATTTAAGATACTTTTACGGTTTAATCCGGCATTTTATATTGTCGGTACAGTTTTTTATATTATAGTCACCACTTCATTCATTAATCCGCGGACGATTATTGAAGACGGACGACCACGAAAACTGTATGGTATCCGAAAAGTCGGAAATAATATAATTATAATACAAAAACGCAAGATTAACCGCAAAATAGGTTTAGTTACATCTAGGTAAACCGAAGAAAAAACGTTTCTTCAGTTACCTTCCTCAAAATTAAGACATGACCATCTACCGTCTTTCTGCTTAGGGTTTTCGAATACATCCCAAAAACTGTTAGATGCTAAGCTGTATTACGTGTTTACAGCAATTAAAGAAACCCCGAAGTGGCTGTTCTATACCCTGGAGCTATAAAATGCGACCGCTACTCAACTTTACCGTATGGAACGCTGTTGGCGCTGCAGAAGGCTTAAATTAGATTTGACTTTTTTTTATCGCTTAGATGAGGGGACGAGCTCACAGCCCACCTGGTGTTAAGTGGTTACTGGAGCCCATAGACATCTACAACGTAAATTCGCCACCCATAATTAACAACGGATGCCCCACCCTTCAAACCGAAATGCATTACTGCTTCACGGCAGAAATAGGCAGGGTGGTGGTACCTACCCGTGCGGACTAACAAGAGATCCTACTGCCAGTAATTACGCAAATTATAATTTTGTGGGTTTGGACCGTGGAAGTCAGTCGTGAACGTTTGTTAAGTACGTATTTCATTAGAAAAATTGGTACCCGCCTGCGGGATTCGAACTCCGTTGCATCGCTCGATACGAATGCACCGGACGTCTTATCCTTTAGGCCACGATGACTTCAAAGATCATGCAACTATTAGAAGATGCATAAATGTCTCGAAGAGAAGATAATTCTGTGAGCTCGAACACAAGATTTTTCTTATAGCTATTATATATAAATGAGCTTTTATATTAAGCTCATTGTACGCGATTAAATTAGGCGAGAGTACGTTAAACGATTATAATCTTTATGTATTCACACAACGATCAAAAATCACATAAAACGGATGATAGTATAAAAGAAATTATCATGAGGCCGAGCTCGCCTTACGAGTGGCGATACTTATAAAGTTTGTTTATACAAGACAATAGATATTCTTGTATTTGAGAAGCTTTTTTTTCCTTTTTGGAAATAATAACAACAATAACTAACCTGATGCTAAGTGGTTACCGTTGCTCATGAACGCCAGCAATGCCGGGGGCATAGCTAAGTCGCTGCCTACCGTATAAATGTATGATGACGTTTTGTGTATAATACAGTGTGTACTGGGCGATGTCACTGCAAGTGCAAGTGTGGGAGGTGGTATACGTGCACGTGCATCGGTCTCAAGGCAGCGACGCGCTCATACTTGTCGGCCAGGACGGAGTGCAGAGACCACCCATACACTTCCCGAAAGGTAAGTCCGCGGCAAATTCGATATAGAACCAAGATATTTTTTAGGTACGTAACTTAGAAAAATCGCATCACGAAATACGAAATGTAAATTTGATTTGAATTGTAAAATGAATTTTATTTCAGAGAATCTATTGTTATTTCTATATTAAAAAAAATTGTCTCGGCATTCTCACAAAGAAGTATACTTTAATATACTCGTATTTCAAATCTAGTTAGAAAACAAACGAAATACTTTAACAAGCATTTAAAGAAACTACAAAATAAAAATATATGCGAAAATCTAAAAATAATAATTTAAAGTAAAATCAGATATAAAAGTAGAAAAGAAAAATAAGGTACAGAATTGAATCTACTTTTTAAACATACTTTTTAATTATTTATAAAGTACACGTCAAAGGTACATACAACGCCAAGAAAAAAAATTGTATCTATAATAAAGAAGAAAACAAAACAAACTAAGGTACTTTATGACCATCCAAGCTCCACTCTCTCGTTGGCAGAATATCATTTTAAATAAGCATATAGCAGTGTATAGTAGTCGATAGGTACTATGATGATTTTACTTTTTATATTATAAACTAGCTGACCCGGCAGACTTCGTAGTGCCTCAATCGATAAATAAAAGACCTAATCTTTTGTATAAAATAAACTTAAAACAAACAAAAGGAATCCGTCCGACGGGTGACACATCAAAGGAAAAACAAAATTGTTATTTTTATTTAATTGCGAGCGTTTTCATATTTAACTGTCTTTTAAGCCTTCTCTGGACTTCCACAAATAATTCAAGACCAAAATTATCCAAATCGGTCAAGTCGTTCTCGAGTTTTAGCGAGACTAACGAACAGCAATTCATTTTCATATAATTAATATATAGATTATAAAAATGACACTCTTGATTTGTAATGTTTTTCAGGAGGTCACTTGCTGTCTTTTTTGAGCAATCTAGAGACAGGTTTATTACCTCATGGTCAGCTAGATCCACCCCTATGGTCACAGAGAGGGGCTGGAAAAGTAAGTAAATTAATATTGAATTGAAAGATTTCATTATATTCAAACACATAGGGGTTAAGTTTTTATAAGGGGTGTAGAAACCTAAATGATATATAATTTAAATAGTTTATTGTTAATTATTGTTTTAATTATCATTGACTGCCGCGTAGGTCACCGGTGACCTACGCGGCGCACTGAAGTAATTGTGTCTATTTCTGTTACTAAGCGCCTGGATTACCTAACTTCGCCTTCTTTTGTATGTTAATGTGTCTTATAGTCTTTTAGGTCACACTTAGAAATAGATTCATTCTCAGTGTCTTCAGTCTTCATCTTTCCCAGAATCTACTAATCACTGGTGATAGGACCTCTTGTGAGTCCGCACAGGTAGGTACCACCGTTTCGGTTTGAAGGGTGGGGCAGCCGTTGTAACTATACTGAGACCTTAGAACTTATATCTCAAGGTGGGTACGTTTATACTTATATGCTTATACTTATTTACGTTATAGATGTCTACGGGCTCCAGTAACCACTTAATACCTTAATACCTCTTCCTCTGTGAGCTCTTCCACCCATCTAAGCAATAAAACAATTAAAAAACAAACTAAAAATTCTGGCACCTTAGTAAGAAGATCGAAGGGAGAATTCGACATAATTACTTCAGTTTACCGCACCGCTTTGGACAGTACAGTGTACAGCGCGCTGCATGACGCCGTGGACAGGGGAAAGTGGAAAAACATCTTAAGATTGAAGCTCATGGGTGATGGTGGACACGACCCTCAGACATGAGGAACACGACTCGAGGAGGAGGACTTCAGTGCGCCTTGTAGGGCACCGGTGACCTACTAGGCAGTCAACGTGTTATTTTAACTATAATAGCTCTATCGCCTGTCTAGATCATTCCACAAGAAATTAAAGTTTCACGAGATTAGATAAAATTCCATCCGACTGCTTAATGACACGGGGCGAACAAAAAACATCGCAAAAATGTTGATAACAAATTTAACATTTACTAGGTTTGAGAATTAAATTGCCGCAAACCGAACTGGTCTACACAAGTTTTTTTTGCATCTTGATAGTTCTAATCATATACTATATATACAAATGTATTATAATAACTTTGTGTTAATATATAAAATATCCAGGTACATAATATATTCTAGTATTGCTTCCCTTAATCTATTATTGACTTTAAATTTTAATACTTATTTCAAAGTTTGGTATTCTCTATGCCAACAGAGCTTAAATATGGCAATCGGAAAGTTACATATAAAAGTACTACTTGGAAATAGTTGAAATTTAAAAATCTTTAAATTTATTTAGGATTCATTTAATAAAAATGTGACCAAATTTAATAAACACACTTTTGTAGTAGATGCGTACACGAACATTCTATATATCACTACATAACTTAGTGTAGGATTTTAGTGTAGAGTGATATATTAAGATAGAATTATATTCCTTTCGATTCTCATGTTAAGAATAAGCAAAGCTTAAGGCTTAGCCGTTTTAAAATACCAAATGAATATCTTCAGGTATTCGGTAGAGGAAAAAACCGGAGACGTCCTATGCCAAGTCTCTCCGAATGTGGCGAAAGTGACGAAGTGGACCAAGACGAGGCTGCCGGCGATTACGTGTTCCGTATTGTCAACAACGCTATAGCCGACAGAGAAGGTGCACTTTTACCTTAGCTTACAATAGTTTAGTTTTCTCTTCACTTTTCACGAGTCTTTGGTATCATTAATACTATTTTTACGTATTAATCTTGCCTTTATTATTGCCACTACATTACTTTCGAACTGTTGTTAAATGGTTTTTTTTTATTGCCTATTTAGGCAGACGGGCATACGGCCCACCTGATGGTGAGTGGTTACCGTCGCCCATGGACTTCAGCAATGCCAGGGGCAGAGCCAAGCCGCTGCCTACAAATACATGAACATGAACCCATTCAATAATGTAAACATCATACCCATATAAAGGCTAAATTCCATTCAAAACTTGAAGCCTCCAATAATTATTGATACGCGGCGGAAATAAAGAAGATTGCAGTTTTAAATCAATTTAAACGATTTTATTTGAAACGTTCAATGAAATAACTCCTTTGTGCCGCAGCAATGCGTCATTCTCTTCTAGAACGAGCAGTTCAGTCGCCTCCGCGCACTCCACGCCGGCCTCTAGCATCAACGTCTACTACTTCCTCTGATTCGTCAACAATGTCAGTCGATTGTCCACCTTCGGCTGGATTTAGTGGGCTTCCTCCGATAACACCAGCTCCACACCAGCCTGTTGAACAGGTATTTAAATTAACTAGTGGTCCTCCGGTAGTCGACATTCGACTATAATTATTTGATAATTTGACCACAGACTATAAGCAATAAGAAAAGTTTGACAACATACAATTATTGTGGATGCGTGTGTATGTCAAGTACGTGGTAGTGTGTGTAATGTTTTTCTTATTGATTTAATTTAAAATTTTTATGCATAATTTAAAAAAATATTAACATCCTGCACTCCTCTATTTTCTCTATAAGTGTGGGAAATTTCATACTCCTTCGTCCGTGCAATTTTCGTAAAAAGGGATACAAAGTTTTTGCTTCACGTATTAATATATAAATAACATTTATCGTTACTAGGCATTTTTAAACTTAACAGGCATTATAAATAGTAAATGTCAATTGCATAACAAATGGCTAGGTTGGGTTGTTAAGAAGGTTGTTAATGATACTAACTACTGTGCCATGAATCGGGGTTAGATTTGAGATTGGACTTATCTTAAATTATATATATATTTAGTATTCGTAAGTTAATTGTAATTTTAGTAAGTTTATATTTCGCAATTAATGATATAAAGTAAATCGAACGGAATGGATTGTGCGCGATAATTGCTAGTTTGGCGAAGATCTTCCACTGAGTGGAAGAAATTGCTTGGTAGACTGACGGTCTAAATATTGTTTTTTGGAACACATATATATGGAAGCTTATCTTGAAAACGTTGAAAGCGAGATTCAGGCATCTATCAAATATTTTGTGTTCTATGATAGTTACCGCTCCACTTGTTTTATTGTGGTATCGCGTTAAGAATGGCCAGTTATACTGAATGTCTTCGATATCTGGAACCATTTCAATATCCTTGTAGTCAAGAAGGTATATAATATTTATGATTTATGGTTATCGGTATGGACTTCGAAAACAGTCCTCAGCGGCTATGGTCCAGGTATTGCCGTTTTCTTACTTGCAGTTGGAAATATCGAGCTTTCCCATTTTGTCTTCCTAATTAAGCTGGTTTTCACAAGTGACTTTCACGATGAAGGTTGTAAATATGTGCTGTAAAATTGTTGTACAAATACATATCACCAAGCTCTCTAACTTTTCATGAAGCCATAATAATTTCCAGTTTGAAAGGTAGAGTTCGGATCTCATGTCCTAAAGTGGGTCACAGGATTAATGTTCAGATGCCTCTTTAAATCAGATGGGTTTTGAGTTTGTTTACCCATCCATAACATTTTCTTGTTTCAAAAATGACGAGATAAGCTTTTTTTCCTGGAAAAAAAGCCGATCGACTAATTGATGAAACAATTTACACTCCATTTTGGCCTTTTATTAGAATTACTTATACAATTAAATAGTTGAATTCATTTGGCTGTAATTTAAATTTCAAATTGAACTTTGGAAGTACTACTTAGTTAGCATTATGGTAATGGGCTCTCACTTCAGCAAAAGGCTATGTAAATCAATTACTTAAACCATTTTGGCTTATAAAGCTCAAATTATCTTTAGTACTATATTTTTAGTGCATCCAAGCGACGGTTATAATTATAAACGGTATATATATAAACGGTAATAATAATATTAGAAGTTTATAATATCATTCGTATACTCGTATATGATGTCAAAAAGGAAACCTTATTTTTATTAAAGTCATGATATTATAGTGGTCATTCGCAGTTCATATTTTTCCATAATTAGATAATTTAGTTTTCTTGTGTTTTTAATTTATCAGTATAGCTGTAACCAAAGAATATCTGTATCTTATGTCTTTCACAAAGCCTTTGAAATGAAAGATGGCATTTATGTTGATTGTCCCTGGGCCGATCGATAGCAGTTGTTTTTTTTTTTATTTAATAAGATTGTAGGTCCACTTAGTATTTTTTGGAGTTTACACACACAACAAACTGTATGCTACCACCAACCTTAAAACCCCAATTGTGTTGTGTAACGGTATGTCACTGTCATAGCATTCAGCTCGTAACACAATATGATTTCTACGTGTCAGAATTAGGAAATACGGTACTATCTGCCTGTGTAAGCTCTACCGTCGTTAGTCGCTTTTGAGCTAAGATATGGTGGTGAAAAGTATTGGTACCTCTCCAGACCAATTTTTAAAATAAATAAAAATTTCACAGACTGCGTCCATTGAACTGGTATGCAGTACGATGCGTAGACAGATAATATCGAGGGCGTTCTACGGTTGGCTCGCGTATTGCCGACACTTGTCCACTGTCAGAACCCATCTAAGCGGTCTCGTGCATCCCAATATAATTACGAAAGGTACGTTGTTTGTTTTTCAGCATGAGGTAAAACAAAAAATTTGAAGTCAATTGAATCACACTATCAATTGAATATACAATTTATATTGTAAACTAGATAAATAAAATACCTAAACTTTTGTATAAAATAAACTTAAAACAAACAAAAGGAATCCGTCCGACGGGGGACACATCAAAGGAAAAACAAAATTGTTATTTTTATTTAATTGCGAGCATTTTCATATTTATCTTTACCTTTTAAACCTTCTCTGGGCTTCCACAAATAATTCAAGACCAAAATTGGCCAAATCGGTCCAGCCGTTCTCGAGTTTTAGCGAGACTAACGAACAGCAATTCATTTTTATTTATATAGAAGAAGATAGAAGATAGATTATTTTTGTAAATCTAACCGTTAAAGAGAAAGCACAAGTGACGTTTATGATGTTGATGCAGATGTGTTTGAATTATTGAAATAATTTGTTACCATTGACTACCATTTGGTTAGAGAATCTTTGTTTAATCAAATTTGACACGATTTAGAAGTGTACCCATGTTCAGTAGCTTTTCAGTTTCATTATAAATATTACGTCCATAGAAGGAGCAGACTCTGGTCTTACAGAAGAAATATGGCGTTCAATGACCGACGACAGTGGTACTGTAAATGACAAAAACGAAGTATACAGGCTGGTTTACTACGGTGGTGTTCAGCATGACATCAGAAAGGAAGTTTGGCCATATCTCCTTGGATATTATGAGTAAGAATTCATTTACTACAATAACGTAAAGCATTTAGTAGTAGCGATAGCTCTAGTAATGCTTCATCTAATGTCCCTGTAAGCAGACAATCATAAAGCCCATCTGGTGGTTATTGGTTAAGTCAGTAATGCCACCGCCTCCCCCTGAGTACTCTCGGAAAACCTAGTTTGAAGAAAGACATTTCATAGCGCTCAGGAAATTCCGTGGAGTTCTTTCAAAGCTAGATCGAGCGTGGCAAAAAATATTTCTTAAGACGCACCTTAGATAAATGCAGTGGTTCTGGGTAGTCTGGATAAGTGTACTCCGGTGGCAGGCGATGCAATGGTAAAATGAGATTGAAACATCTCAAACCATTCTTCGATGCGCTCCACACGGTACTTATGGTTCAAAACGCAAAAAAAATGAAAGTCTCTTCTTGAACCCAGAGGTCCCAAATATTCGAAAAAATAGCCGAGAGGACAGATATTCTTATTGTATCATAGCTTCTTTGAATATTATATTGAATAACGTCATTTATTCTAAAATACGAAAAATTAATTTTATTCTAAATGTAGAAATAAATTAGGCTTTAGTTGTTACTAATCGTTAAGGATATTTCGAAAGAAAATTACTCGAGCAAAATGACAAAAATAAAATGGACCAACACTTTAAAAGGACGAGGTGATCTCCATTCATTCATCAGTTTTCATTCTGTAAATAATTAAATGAAATAATGTTTCATAAAATCATTTTAGTCGTACGAAAATGAATATTTTAAATAAGTAAAGAACCTTTTGTAAACCACCTGTATAATTGTAAATCTGCAACTCCCGCTATAATATAAAATGTCATGGTGGGGAATAAATATAATTTGATTATAAGTTGTAAGTTTGATAGTTTCCTTAAATGTTAAAATAAATAGATTTATTTATTCCTCTTCTATAGATGGACCTCATTATAAATAAATTATGAAAACGCGTTTTATTTAGATTCGGTTCAACAACAGAACAAAGAATAGAACAGGATGCGTCTTGCCGTCGTCAGTACGAGACCACAATGTCGGAGTGGCTCTGTGTTGAAGCCATAGTGCGGCAGAAGGACAGAGAAGCCACGGCCGCTTCAATAGCGAGGCTCAGTGAAGCCTTGGGAAAACTGCCACCCGTGGAGAGTAATGGAGATTCTGGAGAGGTAGTTTACGTGTAGAATTTTTCAGATGTGCACTATTCCCAAAATTGTATCAATAAGCAAATTTGACGTAATTATATCCAAATCAAAATCAAAACCCAATCTAAAATCCAATTCAATTTTCGCGAATCATTTTTAACTACTATTAACGTTAACTAACTATTACTATTACTACTTTAACTATTAACTTAAACTACTATTATGAATTAATATCGTATGTTTCTTATTTTCGTTAGATTATTGTCGAGGTTTGGAATACTTTACTCGTAAATTTGAACTTTATTCACAACGTTTCCGTTGCAATTACACGTTAAAAAAATTCATACAGGTTTTCGAAGACGATTGCAGCGTCATATCAGACAACCCTCCAATTGTAACTCCAGAGCCTAGCGATAACGAACAAAGACGACCGGACAACAAACCTGTTCTGTCTCGAGCACCCAGCGTAGATGAGATTGACAATATCGATTTAGACTCGGAAGAGAAAGAGAAAGATGTTAAAGTTAACGGAGAGACTGACACGAGTGATACTAGAGAAATAGATAGTCTTAAAGACTTAGATGATGAAGATGACGATGTTCATTTAAAAAGCGTTGTGGAGAACCCGGATATGAGGCGAGAAAGTATAGCTGAAATAAAAAGACTGGCTGAAGGTATCGTTCAGAAAAGCGACGGAAGAGGATTACTTTGTAGCGTTGATAGTGCGAATGTGAACCTTAACGGCGTTGACCAAAGATCCTCTGTAGAGGAAAACGGTCCGAGTCCACAACAGCATACTAGCGTTATAGTTACTAATCCGTCTGTTGATCTAGTACCGTCGGGATCACCGGCTTCCGGTGGAACAACTGGTAAGTGTTACTTTAGAATTTCATACAAAATTTCAGCGTACTACGTATTCCATCCGTTTTGTTTAGACGTCAAAAATCATATATATTATATTAGTATAGATATTGATATTGAGGTACATCAAATTTAAACATCTTATCTTTGAACCTTTACTTTTTAGCTAATGTGAGCCCGTCTCGTAGTCCATTAGGAGTGGTACGAGAAGAATCTCAATCTGCTGGTGCATCATTTGACACTCTGGAACCAACGAGTGATCAACGTCCAGAGACCAGATCCAATTGCGTTTCACCTGCTAGTTCTAATGGTGGAGTTTATTCTGTAAGCTTACATGTTTATTTATTGCGTGGTTTTTATAATTTTTCATTGTCACATGGTTTTGAATCTGATTTCTAATTGTAAACTAATAAAAACCGGTCACGCTTTGCTATCACCATAGCTGATTATATGAAAAACGTCGATTTTGAAACTGATCTTGCACCTACCATACGTTAATAATACTAAATCGGAAATCTTCTCTGAAGTACCAACAATAAATATATCAAGTTTCATCACAATCAGATGGCTTAGGAACGCATTGAGGACACCCTCAAACATTTATTTTATTTAGATTATAGTAAATTCATAAAACATTCGTTTGAGTCTCAAGTTAGTTTAAATGGTAATTGAGTTATGTCTTTTTTTAGAACGAGTTGGTTGAAAGCTTCGCTCTGAATCTCCATCGGATCGAGAAAGACGTTCAAAGATGTGACAGGAATTATCCGTTCTTTACTGATGAAAATCTTGATAAACTAAGAAATATTATGTGCACGTGAGTGAAAAATTTTAACTGTATTATGCCAAAAACGTTTCTTTATAAGATTAATTTGCATAATTACCGGCGGTAGAAACTCTGGTCTAGTAACCAAATGCTTGAAGCTTTTCCTAAAGTCCTTTTGGTGCACAGAATAATCGCTGAAACTGGTGTAGTAGATTTTATTGCAAAGAAAATCTCCTCCTCCTCCTCCTCCTTGCGTCGGTTTCCTCATTACTGAGGGTCGTGGTCATGGCCTTGAAACAGTTTGTTTTTTATAATGCACCGCCATCTGTTCCTATCTGCAGCTGAGTGCATAGCATCGTGCACTGTTGTATCAAGGGCTGCACGAATCTGGTCCGTCCAACGGGTCGGATTCCTGCCTCTTGGTCGCTTGCCCTCTGAAGTTCTAGGTTCTAAAAAATATTATCTAAAATTTCGTGTACGGCTTCAAATAAATTTACTGTCGGAAATTTGACACTGAAATAATTGTACTTCAGATACGTTTGGGAACACCTCGAAACTGGTTATATGCAGGGAATGTGTGACCTCGCTGCTCCGCTGCTGGTGATGATGAAGGAGGAAGCTTCAGCCCACGCACTGTTCACAAGGCTCATGGACCGAGCCAGGGATAATTTCCCTTCAGGGCAAGCCATGGACGCTCATTTTGCTGACATGAGGTAAGACTTAAACGGTATGGCGGGCATTAATTTGCTATGAATGCTGTAAAATATTTATTGAGTTACGGTTTTCGTTTAGAAGAGAGATTACCCTATCGCTAAAGTGTTTTGTATGCAAATTTCTTTTATCCACCCTTCAAACCGGAACGCTTTACTGATACGCGAAGATATGAACAGAGTTGTGATAGCCGATCCAGGATCATACGACGCCGTATCGCAACAGAAAAAAAAATCCAGTGTAATTCTAATTCCGGTTTTCATTACACGTTATTATTGCTACTACATAGACTTTATAAAAATGCCTAAATTTCGTATTTAGTTTTAAAAAAATTTATCCTACCCGCGGGATTTGAACAGAGAGATAGTCGTATCGCTTGATACAGTGAGCGATCTTATCTCTTAGACCGCCTCATCTACAGAACGTATATTGTTTGTGTATTATTCAGGTCGTTAATCCAAATCTTGGACTGCGAGCTGTACGAACTGATGCACGCTCACGGGGATTACACACACTTCTACTTCTGCTATCGCTGGTTCCTATTAGACTTCAAAAGGGAAATGCTATATCAAGACGTAAGCATATAATTATATGTTAATATAAGTTGCTTAGCGTGAAGGCGCGTACACACATTTATTTATTATTCATTTCAAATAATAATTAACAAATAACACCATTCTGATGTGTAGTGAAAAACGATCGATATAAATAAATTGGTGTTTAAATTCATTAAATTTGAGGATATTAAAATTTTATTTTTCAGTTTCGTAGTAGGATACCTTTGTATGCTATACAATTGAATACTAAACAAATTTGTATGTGTATACTAAACAAAACTAATGACAACGTATTAAATAGCGCCTGAATTGAAGACAGGAGCATTTTTCGTATAAAGTAAAACAAGTGATTTTGCGTGAAGTAATTTTGAATGAGGGTTTTTTTTTGGCGTAATTGGGAACTGTTCTATCCTTATATTATATGAATAGTCCTATATGAACCAGTTCTTGCAATCCTTACGATATCATCGTTGTAATGGGAACGTCGCCACTTATTTCCCCTTTTTTTTTATTGCTTAGACTTTGACTGGACATCGAGTTGATTTTTTTGCTGATATGGCATCTATGCATCAACACGTCATTGCCATACATCAAAAATATGTTCTGGGGACCTATTCTATTCAAGCTCGGTGATGTCAAGATCACGGCCTAGCCGCTTTCTGTCGTTAATTTGAAGAAAGAACGTCTTAACACATTGCTGCTGTAAATATGTGTGCGCTTTTAATCTTCATCACTAATTTGTTTAATGTTTTCGTCGATTAGGTGTTTGCGGCGTGGGAAATGATATGGGCTGCTCGTCACGTCGCCTCCGAGCATATGGTGCTGTTCATAGCGCTCGCTCTGCTCGAGACGTATCGCGATGTGATACTCGCGAACACAATGGATTTTACGGATATCATCAAATTCTTCAATGGTGAGTAATCTGACAATGAAATGCATTCTAGCAAAGCGGGTAGAGGTTTTTGAAGTGAAACTTCTTTAGAATCGTTGTGGTGTGATTTCAAACTCGATGAAACGAAATGAAACGAAACGAAAAAGTAAGTGTGCCGCGATTGGCTTGCCGAAGCGGCTCCGAGCGGCGCCGACAAGTCACGAAGCGCTCCACACGGTCTCGCGTCCCTGACTAGTTCAGTGTGTTTTTGACGTCCGTACACGCTGTCGTGGCTCTCGGAGCGCCCTCAGATACTTTTATTTCTATTTAGTTTGTTATCAACAGATGCCGCTGCACGTAAATTCAACAATTCCTGAATAGTTACACAGTTGATAGACGTTCTCGTATATCTCTTGCTAAATCATATTTACCTGGCGTAGGGATACCGTGATCATGCAGGCGGTTTCTCCAGGGTGAGGCTGCTCCATTGCACTGCGGAGTGGTTGACCCTTGCGATTATTTTTATTTTTTATAAGTTTCACTTCTACTGTGTGTGACTTGCACACACACACACCTTTTTTTCAATAGCTGTCGCATTGGTCGAACGGAATTGTTTAGAAATTCGGAAAAATTTGTAATATTGATGGTGCGATTCAGGGCTGTGACCGAATCCAATACTTTGGCTTACTGGTGGTAGGACCTCTGGTGAGTCCGCACGGGTAGGTACCACCACCTCGCCTATTTCTGCCTATTGAAGGGTGAGGCAGCCGTTATAACTATACTGAGATCTTAGAATTTATATCTATTTTATTTATTTATTGTTTAGATGGGTGGACGAGCTCACAGCCCACCTGGTGTTAAGTGGTTACTGGAGCCCATAGACATCTACAATGTAAATGCGCCACCCACCTTGAGATATAAGCATGCTTATATTTTATTGACCATCGCATCGCCCACTTCCAGATAAATCTTCATAATTACTGCATGGTACGTCTGCGTCCAGTCGTAGTGCGTTCCTAGTGATTATTTTTGCAATTATCATACGGTGTTCTGAAATGAGATCCTTCTTTAAATGAGATTTGAAAAAGCCCTCATTGATAAGTGACGGTCTTTTGCTGTGCTGATGTCCATTCACCATCATATCATCACCAGTCAGTATGCTTGCCTGCCTTCGAAAGCGCAGTTGTTATAGAGACATTTGCAGTCTTAGACCAGTGCATGTAACCGTATATAGATCGTAGCCAAGACTTTACTAATTTGTGAATAAACTTAATGGTTCATATTTGAATAACCACTTTCTTTCAAGACGTTTATTACGTGTTTTTTTTTTACTACAAGCAATCTCCATAATGGTATTTGTTTAACGCGATGACACGCGTGTAGTTCGCACGCACGTACGAAACTGGGAATTAATTTTATTTTCATTGATAAGTACGGAATGTAGACCAAGGTAGAAAGAAGCCTTTAAAAATAATGAAAAGTGAAAGAAAATAATAGTAGGATAAAACCCATTACAAAAGGAGGGGAATATTATAAAAATGAAAGGAAAAATAATTTACGGGCGATCTGAGGTCGGGAAGGGGTTGGGGGGGGTAGGTTTAGGGTAAAAAACTGTTTTTCTCGATTTCCGGCAAAACTAAAACTAACTTTTGGCTGACTTTCATGTATATTTCATATATTTCAAATACCTTTTGATGTGCTAAAATTTTTCGTAGGTCACTCAGGTATATAAGTTATTTAAAAATAGTTATAAATAGGCATCTACGCATATAATTTAAAGAAGATTCGACAACTTTCTCCAAATATTGTAGATGTCTTATTAAATATGAATTTTATTAACTTATTTGTTTGTTAATTATAGTATTATATTTTGATTTGCAATTTTTTTCTATCAATGTAACATGTAATCTTATGTTTTTCGAGTAATTATAGTGTAAATTTTAAAATAAAAAATTGTATATCATAATTAAAAAAATATATTCGAATTCGAGTTTTTTGTCGATGTTTTGCATTTTCTGAGAAGATTTACTATAGTAACATCTCTATTTTTTACCATCGGAAAAAAGAGATTTCAACGAACAGAAAACTTACCTATTTTTTTAAAAAAGCTGATATTTTGACGGGTGAATTTTCGATTGAAAATTAGGGTCCTTTTTCGATATTAATTCAAAATAAGGTGAAAAAATAAATATTTCTAATCAAATAAATTACAGCGTATTTGGGACATAAAAAGGTAAGTTTTCAGCAAATTTCGTGAAAAAAGATTTTTTTTTTGAAAAAGATAAAAATAAAAAACCAAAAACTTGTTTTTTTTAATTTTTCACTTAAATTTTGAGGTTATGTGAAAAAAGCGTAAATACAAAAGTTTTAGATCTTTTTATTACCTACAACTTTGCCATTTGACTTTTTTCCATAGGACTTTTAGTTTTGCTGGAAATCGAGAAAAACCGTTTTTTACCCTAAACCTACCCCCCCCCCAACCCCTTCCCGACCTCAGATCGCCCGTAAATTATTTTTCCTTTCATTTTTATAATATTCCCCTCCTTTTGTAATGGGTTTTATCCTACTATTATTTTTTTTGGTTTTAAAAATTATCGACACTGGTCTAATGTTAATTGTGAAGTTGCCATGGCATATGCAATATGTTCCATAATAATATAACGAATTATTGCTTTGTTGATCAAAAAAAAAATTGTTGCTTATATGGTTGGGCGAGCTCACAGCCTACCTGGTGTTAAATGATTATCGGAGCCCATAGACATCTACAATGTAAATGCCGCCATCTACTCTGAGATATGAGTTCTAAAATCTCAATTTTTACAGTATTTATTTATCTAACTTATTAAATGATTCAATCACTATTTAATTATATTTATTTCTTTAGTACTCCTTGAAAGTTTCGTGTTTAAAAAGAATAATGTTGATCATGTTTATATCCTCATGAGATGACTATAAATTGCAATAACGCACTTCTATTAATATTAAATCTATTTAAATCGTTTGTTCACAGAGATGGCCGAACGTCACGACGCTTCCGCTGTTCTATCTCTAGCCAGAGACCTAGTCCTGCAAGTTCAGACTCTAATCGAGAACAAATAGAGTTCGTTGTCGTATAATTTGAAAGTCTCTAAATAGACAATGATCGATTCGTTACGCTACATGATAATGAAGGTCAAACGTGAAATGTATGTCGCTGTTTGTAACCGCGAAACAAAATCGTTTCTCATTTTCGAAATTGTTCTGGAATATTTAAATATGAAAAATAATTGGAAATGCCATTTTTAAATTTGGAAAATTTTGTAAGCCACATTATTTTTGAAAATTCTGAAGTTCTGATCTATGGATAAATTGTTATTGTACGTATGCAGTGACGTTATTCGGGAACATGTAATGTACCTATGTATATTTATCGAAAGGTTTATAATATTATAATTTTTCTTAACAAAACAAGTCATATTTTAAATCTTGTTTGAAATCAATGAACTTTTTAATTTTCACGATAATTGTTGATATTATTTGTAGAATAGAGAGGTTCTATATGCTAAAATAATATATATAGTCACAACTACTTCCAGAATTGTTAAAGACACTTTTTTTTCAAACATGTTTTTCCTTTATAAACAACACGATTGACCTTTGTTAGTGTACTAAGGTAGTTCTAGTAAGCCTATGTAAAAATATATATTAGCGTAGACAAATTATATATTGAAAAATTACAGTATTACATCATTAATCATATGTGTCTATCTTGTATTTCTAATGTGTTTTGCGATGTGAACTATGTTCAATGTCTTATCAAATTTGTTTACGTATATTAGCGAAATTATACGAAACACACTCTGATTGTTTACGTTGTTTGAGTCATTCGAAGGAAAATAACTCAATAATAAACAAAAAAAAGTCCCAGAGAATTCGCTTCCTGAAACTGATCTGTTGTTTTTCCTCTAACGGTTAAATACCTACGTGCACGATGAATTCCGTGAAAAAGACACAAGCTAAATTCGACTTGGTTTTTCAGTCGAATTCGTCAACAACGTTTTACTGTTATATTCCTTAATTTGCAATATGTTTCGACTATAAAAATATAACAGAATTGCCCTTGAGAAGAAGATACGATTATGCCTCCCGGATTCATTTAACTATTACGTCTTATGCACTGCATCCGTCCGTACTGATCTCCTATTTTTCTACCTAGCCCTTCTACCATAGGCGATGGTCACTGAGCATGTCGTGAGCAAGGGTTAGCACCACTGACCTGCGTTTTTCTGCCGCGAATTTCAATGTTAGCCTTTCGGAAAGGATCACTTTAAAGCCTGATAAAAATACTTCAATTTTCTTTAAAAGGTAACTTGAATTTCTGTGCGCGACTGTACCTCTCTAAGTATGCAGCTACGTCGACCGGAACGCAGTCGGAACGTGGAGTAAATTTGTAAGGAAAAGTCGCGTTTAAATCCTCGTGGTTAAATTTCCTTGTTAAGTTGTAACCTGGACCTTATTATAACGACAAACTAGTAAATAATTTTTCCATCGAACGAGAACGGTTTCACAAAAGCCCCTTCTTTTACTAAATTCAAATCTTAGTAAATTTATCGAATTTATTGAACTTTGAAAAACAAAGGTAAATTTTCGAAAATTCTAATTATCATATCGGATAACGACCCTTTTCCCCTGTGCCTTGTCAAAATATCCATTAAAATAAAAACCCTATTTACTTACATACATAAAATGTATTTATGATATAAATGTTTTAAATAATTTATTGAAAGTTCTAATACAAACTTCGAATATACTATTTTTCTTATATATACCTACCTAGAAAATACTTCTGATATTGTTACGTGCTTAATATATACATATGTATGCATATTATCACTAATATGTACTAGTATATACTTAACCTCTAATTTATAAAAAGTTTTAACTGAAATTAATTTTGAAATTTAAGAAAAAACTTTCTAATCTCGCTTTGCATATTTTTGACTCGACCTTTTTATTTATCACGTATATTTTATTTACTGTATTTTTCCCGATAAATGCCAGATTAAAATCTTGATCTGATATTTTGAACATATTGTTTGAACCACAGAAAAACGTAAGCTCCGTCTTTGTCAATAATATGTCCAGATTTTATTATCCATCAAAGTACCTTCTCATTAGATTTGCTGTTTTTTTTTGTTAGATGGCTCAACGAGCTCAAGATCCACTTGATATTAAATTGAAATGGATTTTACCGAAATTATTATTAAATTATTGAATATAATTGATTTATACATATTATTATTCCTTTTCTTTTTCGTATTACTCCTGTCAGAGCGGTCGTGGTCGTCACTCAGTATCATTGCTGTGGGCAGATGCTATGTACCTCACAATATATATATATTTAATACTATTATATTATTATTACATTATATTATTATATTGAAAGCCGACACCCATCTTGAGATGTAAGATTGAAGTTTCAATTGCATTGTTTTTTATTACATGATATTATTTCTTCTTAATGGAATTTTTTCTTTGAATACGTGTACAAATTATAATTCAACCTATATAATTACATTTTTAGCCTAATATTCATAGNATATATATATATTTAATACTATTATATTATTATTACATTATATTATTATATTGAAAGCCGACACCCATCTTGAGATGTAAGATTGAAGTTTCAATTGCATTGTTTTTTATTACATGATATTATTTCTTCTTAATGGAATTTTTTCTTTGAATACGTGTACAAATTATAATTCAACCTATATAATTACATTTTTAGCCTAATATTCATAGCGTGCCACCGGTCTTCTATGCCGCGTTGATGGAATTATTTTTGAGAATGTCTTCAGACCGGGCGGAACATGATCCCGTGTTTTTTTTTTCGATGTGTCTAAAAAGTTATATGTGACTAAAAAGGCTAATCACTCATTAAATAATCTACCAGTCAATGAACCCAGTCGTGGTTTCAAATATAATCAGGTAACTTTTAAAAGCACTCTTTCACCTTTAACAAATCAATATTTCAATTTTACAAATAATGTTGTTACAAATCGACAATTAAAATATCAGATCTAGCTTGTAGAATCTCCTAGCTAATTTATAAGGGCCGGTCCTCGTATCGATGTAGTTATAGTGAGGCGTCGCGAGGAGACCTACCTATTTAAAGTTTAAAATTTGATAAATATAACAAAAACTTCTATTGGCTATTTGAATGGAGTAAACTTAATTGAAGTTATGGTGAGGGGTAGATCTCAGGGGTATTTAAAACTATGGGTTAGTCACCAATATCGAATTTCGAATTTTAATCTTCCTTTAACACAAACAATTTTCAATTTTAAACAATAATTACATTTAGACGCGGGCGCACGCTGTTCACACTCAAAACGGAAGCGCCCGGAACATAGATTATACACTGTTAAAAAGATAGACATAGATGCTAACTATGTATAGCGAGCGGGCATACGGCCGCGAGAGTGACGTAACGGTCGGTTTGCTACAAAGTTCAATTCAAAACATCGAACTGTTGATGCTAATACCAAATAAAACGCACCTTTTAATTACGCAGGTGAATATCGCGTATTATGTCCATGCCATAGGAGTGGGTAATATCGGTTTTGCCGCGTATCGAATCGTATCTATATATAGAGTATCAATATCGGATATTGAATCTATATATTTTCTGAATCTATATATTGATGGATGCTAGTAGATTTTCTCGATTCATGATATTTGAGATTTGAAACGATACGCTGATATAATATCGTAGTAGATATAGATTTAAGTCAACGTTATACGGTTGGTTTTCTGATAATAATTTATAATATGATTTTAAAGTAATAAAAAGAACATGAAAATAAAAATATCAAAAAAACTTTCCTTCATGCTTTTATCAGGCTTAGGACTGGCTACATTATTTTCAGTTTTTAGTATTTTGTGTCTTAATTTAAAATTACAAAATATACCAAAAGAGTGTAGATTTCAAAAGTTTAATACAAACACAAGAAATAAACTCAATTATTTGGATTCAACTAAAAATAGAAAAATGTGTACTTTAAAAATCAAACACAAAAAACTTTTAAGTATTTATAAACACTTGTCCAAAAATTCTAGTTCAAGGTCAAAGCGCGTGAAATTAAATTCAACGATGCAAATAGGCTATACTGCATTCAAGTTAGGGTCGAAAGTTGAAACTTCTTTCCTTAATTGTATCCTGCTGATACGCTAAGAATAATCTACAGACATATGGACTTAAATATAAGGTTTACAATTGTATGGATAATGCCTGTTTCTGTTTCATTCATCACATAATATTCCTATCGTGCGCTCACTCACTCTGGCCGATTCGATACGAACCAAACGAATATCGCTGATATTCACGAATCGGTACGATATGCCGATGCGCATCACATCGAGCAATATCGTGTATCGGCTGATATCGATATATAGATTTCGTGCGGGGCGATATCGGATTCAACGATATTGCTGCGATATATAGATATTGAATCTAGATACGATTTATATTACCCACTCCTACCATGCCACCCATGATCGAAAACAGTGGAAGAACGTCACATGTGGTCGCGATCCACAGTAGTGAGGGAACGATATAGAAGAAGAAGATTATGCGAAATGTCGGTTAAACTAAATAGCCTTTCCGACATATTTCCACGAATTTTGGTATCGACAAACAGAATTATCCATGCCACCTAATGATTGCTAAATTATATATAAAAACACGTCCAATCTTCTTTGAATAGTGTAGACGCGTGACGGAAGTGAAAAAATTAAGGCGTGCAGTCGATGAATCTTTATTTACTTAATGAAGAATAACATTAGTTTTTATTATAGTAATTTTATTGGCGCTTCCAGTCGTGTTTACTTGTATTTTATATTTATTATTAATTACGTGAATATTTGTATTTTAATATGCATTACAATTTATGAGCGTCTGTCTCTTGTATAAGATATTGTGTATAAGACGTTCGTAGTAAAAGTTCTAGTAAAATAGATGACGTTATATCGGAGATGTATTGGTCACGTTTGTGTGGTTCAAATGAGAAATAACTCATTGAATATTTTCTCTTGTAAATCTTAAATTTTTTGTGTCTCTTAATATACTGTACATCATCTACATTTGTTACAAACTAGTCGAATAGTTTTTTATGTATTTAAAATAGTAAGCATTTTGCACAAACGGTGGAGTGTACTGGTGGTAGGATCTCTTGTGAGTCCGCGCGGGTAGGTACCACCACCCTGCCTATTTCAGCCGTGAAGCAGTAATGCGTTTCGGTTTGAAGGGTGGGGCGCCCGTTGTAACTATACTGAGACCTTAGAACTTATCTCAAGGTGGGTGGCGCATTTACGTTGTAGATGTCTATGGGCTCCAGTAATCACTTAACACCAGGTGGGCTGTGAGCTCGTCCACCCATCTAAGCAATAAATAAAAAATAAAAAAAGTGAACATATTTTCAAACTCCCTGAATCTCATTTTGTGACTTCGAAATATATTCCACATTAATCTGGGTGATTTTTGTTTGTTTATTGCTAATCTATTTGCTTTCCGATTTAAAGGCGACGATTAACGGTTTGTTTTTTATGTAATTGAGACAATGAACTTATATGACTGGGCGCGTAATGGTATTTATTACCTTATGCTGTTTATGGGCTCGATATCGACTTAACATCAGATCGACCGTGGGCTCGGTATCCATGAACATCGAAATAAAATCGTTAATCTGTAAATAGAGGCTTAATGTTTGCTTAATGTTAAAACAGAATTAAACTTATCTAGATTAATTAATTCTCTATCTATCCGCTGGTAACCTAAGGGGCTATTATAGCTACGTCCGGACGGGTAGCGAGCTCACGGGCCCAATCTGAAAGAATTGGCTAACGCTATTTCCCGAGCGCTATGACAATGACATGTCCTTCTTCAAACGAGGTTTGTGGAGAGTATTAAACGGTAGGCAGCGGCTCGGCTCTGCCCCTGGCTTTGCTGACGTCCATGAGCGACGGTAACCACTCACCATCAGGTGGGCCGTATGCTCGTCTGACTATACGGCAATAAAAAAAAACCTATCATTTAAATTATTTAAAAAAAAATGCGTATAAGGCAATAAAAAAAAAACCGCTAGCCCTAGTAAGAGCAGTGCTTCACAGAATCTATCTACGGATCGGATCGCGACCCATTGAGAAGATTGAGAAACTCAGTGGGTTGTGTCCAAAGGTGGGTTCGCTTGTCGAACGAGGACGGTGACTTGCGCTTGAGGGATAATAACTTTACAAGATATGTTTCAGGCGACGGCGCCTTTGCGTTACCTCGTCACCTGGATCGTATAAGAATCACTGCAAAATATTCTTTATTTTAGTGATTAATTCTCAACTTTCAAATAAAAAAATATTCCTTCGAAGAACAGTACAATATAAATATAAGCATTTGGTAGAAACAACTCAATAGATTCGCTTTTTAAAATTCTTTCTTCGGCCTTTGACCCTAGCGATTTTTATCTAGAACGTTCGGATACTTTGTAAAATATGGAGTAGGTATATTTTTGAAAACTAAATTATATGTTGTATCGAGTGTTATTTCCATGTTCTTATATAGTCTTTATATAATGTCTTGTGTGTATACTGTAATACTATCATTAGCTTTTTAGTCGTTTTGTGCTGTTACGAAGATAATCGTGATGACTGTTCTATTTCAAAACGATGTTTTCAATTAAGATTTTTATTTATATTATGATTGATGTTTAACTTCTACAAAAAAAGTTCTACAGTTTTCTAAGTAGATAATAAAAACATGCTTGGTGCTAAAATTCCTACTTCACAAATTATGAATAGTAATAATCAATTCACATTATGACATCAAAATATTTTATATTAACAAAAGTAATAAATATTATTATTGAAATTCGCGCCTATTATTGTAGACGACTACTCAACAATGTTTTTGGTCGCAGCATTCTTTTTGTATATGTATAAGCTTGACAGTTTTATCAAATAAAATAATAAAACAAAAGTAGACATTAATGTAAAAAAAAACTGATTATTGTTAAAAACATTTCTTGTTTCAGTTGTCGTAAAAGCTTGATGCAAATTGAAATAATGTTATATTGCTATGCAGTTAAATGAATGTGTTTTATTCGAACAGTTTATCATTCATTAATATTACGGGTGATAATTATTTATGTTTGCAATAATCATTTGATTGTTCACTAGCGATTGTCTTTTATCTTTAGTTTATTTATACACCGATGATATGCGCGTCAGTAACAAAGTATATATTTGTTGACAAAGGTCAGACTTGAAACTTATGTAAGCGAAGGAGCAAAATCGGGGCAAGCTTATTTCGAACTGTTGACGGTGAATTAATATTTGATTAGTTGATAAACTCTAATAAGATGATTTGATTACGTTTTCTTTTATTTTTAAGAATTTGAATAATAGATCATTCGGATACGGATTGCATATTGAATCAGACAAATACAGTATAGATGTGACGTTTTAAAATAAGACAGTCATTACGATGTACATAAATTTATATCTGTTTATATTGATGTCTATGAAATGAATTTAATGTGATTGTTATACGCTTAATCTAGTTCTTATACCTATAAATATATAGAGCAGGCCTAAGTCTGAAAATAAGCCAAGCTTTATTGTATTTTTCTTAACGGACTTGTGTTTTGAACACGGAAAGCGAAATCCAATAAGTTTTTGTTAATCAATATTTATCTTCATATAAACTTTCTTAGATCAGTATTAGTTCAAAATAAACATTGTGTTTTTATTAATTTCAACTTGTCTTCAAAACCACACACTAATAATACTAAAATAAAATTAAACAAATTTTAATATAATGATATTGACTTCATTGGTGATTATTTTATCGATGCTAAAAATTTTCAGAGCTTATGTAGAATTATGATTATTTTTTATCGTCGAGATAATCAACATTTTGTGCCAAACATTTTAACGTTAGAAAAAATACTGACGGCAAGTACAGCTGGATATGCTCTGGTCATCTACTGGACGTAGCCTAAGCCTATCTTCGCCGACATAGAAATATTAATTCATAAAATAAATAATTTGACTCATTGTAAGTAGTGTGATCAAAGCTTATTCGCGCCATTCAAGTTCTTGAGTAATGTGGGAAAAAAATAGCATCGGAGACCTCGTTTAGTCTTCATCGAAAACTTTTAGCGCAATTCAAATCTTAACGGATAATTCGATGTTTGGGATAATCTCCTTTTTACGATATTCTGGTTTATAGTATTCCGGGTTCGAAGTGGCCTCGTTGTCCGTGAGTCTCGTGAGCTCGCCGAAAAGAGGTTTAAGGAGAGTCGGTTGTGGTATAGAGCATGAGTACTCTTGGGCGACATCGCCAAGGTTCATAAACTTTTTGAAGAATTTCTGCCAGCGACGAATAAAGTCAAGTTGCTGTAGTATCTATCGTGTATTAGATAGTGTACTTCCAGTAGGATTGGCCAGGAATGCAACTCCGAAATAGTAAAATTGCCAATAATATGGAATAATACCTTTTTTATCCCGTTAACAGTCCTAAAATTTGATTATGTTTTCATAATTAAACATACATCATACTTATCCATCTCATTGATACATTATATTTTCCATATTACGTATTATGTTTTTTTAACAATCGTTTCAATGTTTGGCAGTTAATTTTTATAAAGTTTTTATTTTTATTTTATTAAGATCCATCCACAAATCATCTATATACGTTTAAAATTTATTATAATTATTTGTAGTACATTAATTGTATACAACGTAATGTGTCGTAAACAAGTCTTGATGCTGAATGTTAAAATTAATTTTGGTATTCAAATGTGTCAATGCTTTATGATAAGTAGATTTTTTTTGTATTGCTCAGAGCCTAATCAAATTTTGAAGAGATCGATACATACTTGACTGAGTTTTTTTTTTATTGCCCCTGTAGGCAGACGAGCATACAGCCCACCTGATAGTGAGTTGTTACCGTCGCCCATGGACCTCAGCAATGCCAAGGGCAGAGCCAAGCCGCTGCCTACCGCTATACCACTATAGCTACCGCTGTGTGCGACAAGACTAACATTATCTTTCTATAGAGTGTGTTATACGAATAAAACAGAAGAAATTAGATAATTTTATTATTGGTGGTTGGACCTCTTGTAAGTCCGCACGGGTAGGTACCACCACCCCGCCTATTTCTGCCGTTAAGCAGTAATGCGTTTCGGTTTGAAAGCTGGGGCAGCCGTTGTAACTAAACTGAGACCTTAGAACTTATATCTCAAGTTGGGTGGCGCATTTACGTTGTAGATGTCTGTAGGCTCCAGGAACCACTTAACACCAGGTGGGCTGTGAGCTCGTCCACACTACTAAGCAATAAAAAAAAATCGTTTGAATTATCAGAGAGGTATTGTAAACAAGGCTCATGCCTCGATTTAAGTACAAATGCAGAAAAACGATAGCCGGAAAGAAAATAAGATATTCAACATTTGATTAGGCTCGTATTCAATATTGAATTTTTAGAGGAAGCATTATATTCGATGTAAAACATTTATCAAATTGAATGTAAGTAAAAAAATATTATGTAATGTGTACGTAAGGTGTAAGAATTATTTATAGTAAATATTGTAATTATTTTTGTGAAAGTCATCTTGTCAATAAATACATTTCCATTTAAATGTAGTGTTTTATTTTAATTGAATTAAAACTTGTACATATGTATCATTTTAAAGGGTTATGTTTTTGCTTAAAAACTCGTAAGAGATTTAAAAAAAAACCTGAACGTAAAAAATAAAGACAAATATATTCGAAATAGTTTTTATTTGGATTAAAAATTAAACTAAGCTCGCAGGAAAATTAATAATAACTGAGAGTGATATTTTATTTAAAGAAACAAAATTTAAGTTATCTTTTTAAATAAATTGTAATAAATCTTTCAAAATATTATAAAATTGTCCCTTTTTTCCTGTAAGGGAAATTAAATGATTTATAACACTATTAATCAGTATTTCTTCAGTTCCTCTACGTTATCTAGATCGTCAATGGAACCCGGGAAAGGTGAATACTTGTCCCAAGTTTTGATGAGCTCGTACAAAGCGTCTCCGGGGCAGGCGGTCCTCCTGACCTGCCTGTGTCCGATAATCTTGTGAGCCGGTTTCACGAAGCCGAGTTCCACTCCGGTCGCAATCAGCGATTTAGCAGCTGCGATTTGTTCCACCGATGGAACGGTGACTGTAATATAAGCAATCAACATTAAACATCTAATATTGACGTGACAACGTCTTATAATTCGATGGAGCCGGCTGCACGCACGAAAAAACATGATTCATTGAGGCGTTCCATTTAAGGCTTGAAGGGCAAGCGAGAGCGCGCAACGAGCGACAAAGAGGCACAATCGGCCTCCGCGTTCGGCAGCGTTCGACATCTGTCTCTCTCCTACTTGAGTGAGCGATGCATCCGCGTGGACAGCTGCTATACAATAATACATTTACATGTTTTCGTCAAGTATGAAGTTCAGTGAAAAGTGAATGTAGTGTCCATTATTTATACAAAATATCTATCAAACAAATTAAATATTTTTTTTTTTTTTGAAAAATGTAACCATTCCATCAGTATTTTCTTATGACGTTGTCACGTTCAACTATCGTCAGTAAACCGACTTTACAGACAACCGATTTTTTTTTATTGGTTGATTTTATTGACCCCATCATCACATGTTTACAGAGTATTGTAAATTTTCGCACTAAAGGCTAATTAGAGAGAAATTATTATATAAACATAAATATTAGATAATTATTATCTAAAGTAATTTTATAATTCCTTAAGTATGTTTTTAAAGTAAGGATTACTGGTGGCCTGGAGGCCTTTCCAGTTTCACCAGGAGATTTGTTAAGTTGTATGATCAAAGCCTTATTTTTATTCCACCCATCAACTCCAACAACACAACATCAACTACTTCGCGGCAGAAATGAGAAGGTTCATAGCACCAATAAATTATTCTTAATACATTTCAATTGCCATGAATAAATGCTCGATAAAAACGAGTGTGGAAATACTAGTTGTACTTAGGAAAAGTTCATCACGCCGTGAATGAAATACACCGAGAGTCTGACACTTTAGGCTACGGACGCTTCAATCACGTCCGATAGTGCTCTCCTTTCCGTTTAAATTAATAATCATATAATTTACTCCAAATAGTAGATAGTCCCACCGGACAACCCTAGTGTAATCTATACCAATAAATAACATTGGAGTGTCTGTCTGTTTGTAATAATAAAATAACCACCCTTTACTAAAGTAAGTATGTATTCACAGTACCAAAATAATATTATAATTTAATTTCTATTTTGTCTGTCTGGCTGTTTGTTCCGGCTAAACTCTGGAACGGCTTGACCGATTTTGACAAGACTTTCACTGATAGGTAGCTGATGATATAAGAAATAACTTAGGCTACTTTTTTTAGACTCAATTCGCCCCGCGGTATCACCCGCAGTACCACAATAACCGCGGGTAGCATCGCTGGACGCAGCCAGTGCGTCACTTAATTTAAAAAAAAAATGTTAATGAACGCATGACATTAAAAAGTTAGGCGTGCTCTTACATCGGTAGTCTCCAATAAAAGATATTCCAATACTGATATTATTGAAATGTAGCGAATGTGCCCCTCGATCGGTCCATCCTCGGCCTTCATAGACAGCGCCGTCGCCTCCCACTGCGAAACTGGAAAATCAACGGTCTCTCTTTGAATTCGAAAATATCCATCCAAAACTTATTTTAAATTATTATTAACTGGTGGTAGGACGTCTTGTGAGTCCGTACCGCAACCACCACCCTGCCTATTTCTGCCGTGAAGCAGTAATGCGTTTCGATTTGAAGGGTGGGGCAGCAGGGTGGGGAAATAATAAAAAATAAAAAATTACCATATTGAATAATTCAATAGGTACTTTCAGGTGTAGGCAGAACTTGCAACAAAAGTTTTTGAGCGTGTTCCGATTTTGGTAAATTTCATACGAGGGCTGCACTAAAAGTATCGGGAATGGAATATTTCCACTGTTCCTGTCATATTAAAATCTTTTTAATTGAAAACTCCTTGGTTTTAAAAATCGATACCATTTATTTATTTAAAAAAAGATTCTCGGTCTTGTCACGAGGTTTTGTCAAACTTGTTTAGTCGTTGAGAAAATGGAATGGACTCGAGAAAATTCAAGAGCGATGATTTATTATGACTTTCGAATTGGTTTAACACAAAAACAGTGTGTTGACCGGATGATTTCTGCATTTGGTGATGAAACCACAATTTATCGCTGGTTTGCTGAGTTTCAACGTGGACGTGTCAAGCTCAGTGATGATCCCCATCAAGGTCGTCCAAAAACTGCAGTCACCCAAGAAAACGTTGATGCTGTGCGTAAGCTGATTGAGGAAGATCGACATGTGACATACCGCGAAATTCAGGCAACTTTAGACATTGGCATGAGTCAAATACAAATAATCTTGCATGAACAATTAGGTGTAAAAAAGTTGTTTTCCCGATGGATACCGCATTCGCTCTGTGAAGAGCAAAAAGCGGCTCGCGTTACTTGGTGCGTCAGAACTCTCGAAAGATTCCACGCAGGATCCTCAAATGCTGTATACAACATTGTATCAGGTGACGAATCCTGGATATACGCGTACGAACCCGAAACAAAAAACCAGTCACGAGTTTGGGTGTTCGAAAATGAGTTAAAGCCAACAAAAATTGTTCGTTCACGGAGTGTTGCAAAAAAAATGGTGGCCACGTTTGTCTCCAAAACCGGCCATGTTACGACTATTCCTCTTGAGGGACAAAGAACGGTTAATGCAGAATGGTATGCTAGCATTTGTTTGCCACAGGTCGTTTCTGAACTCCGTAAAGAGAACTGCAACCGCCGCATCATCCTCCATCACGACAATGCGAGTTCTCACACCGCGCACAGAACAAAAGAGTTTTTAGAGCAAGAAAACATAGAATTATTAGACCATCCGCCGTACAGCCCCGACCTAAGCCCTAATGATTTCTATACTTTCCCTAAAATAAAGAATAAATTGCGTGGACAGAGATTTTCATCACCTGAAGAAGCTGTGGACGCCTACAAAACGGCCATTTTGGAGACCCCAACTTCCGAATGGAATGGTTGCTTCAATGATTGGTTCCATCGTATGGAAAAATGTGTAAAATTTCGCGGAGAATACTTCGAAAAGCAATAAATACATTTTTAAATAGTAATGTTGTGTCACTTCGTTAATTCCCGAAATTTTCAGTGCCGCCTATGTATTGATTACATAAACATTATTTAGTTAGATGATATTTTGCCGGTAATTAAAAAACGGATTACTAACGAATGATCAAGACACTATAGACACAAGTAATCATTCACTACTACAAAATATTTAATGAATGTTGCTGATTTTTCTTATTTTCTTTTTAGGGTGCGTTGTATCATGGCCGACTTCCGGTCAAACCGGTTCAAAATATAAGTCTAAAATAAAAATACTAGACTTTTTCGAATCGTCCGTACTTTTGGAGAGTTAGTTGAACCAATTTAATTTGTGGAACAAGATTGACCTCTATCTATATTAAATAATATCTTTCAACGTAATTTCGGCAGCTTCAAGTTAAGTGATTAACTAGAAAATTTTCATACGAATTACATTAATAATCGAGGACAGTAGAATAAATTTTATTACTTCGGCCCATTGTTCCAGGTCAAAATAACTAAGAATAAAGGTTATTTTAAGTACTTTTTAATAATTTATTTTAATATTTCATTAAAAGTGTTTTAATAATGCAAATTAACGACAACTTTTTAATTTTAAGAGACAGTTTTTTTTAACAACGATTATAAACTCAATTAAAGTGACGTCTTACTTGTACCCGATGTCCCACCAGTTATTATCTATCATATTATAATTCTGCATGCCCCTCATGGCGCTACTGCACTGTTCTCTAGTGTGACAGGCGCCCGGGATGTACGTGTGATGGATCACGACATACGGCACGGGAGTTTTTAAAGGTGTCGTCTGGACTGGCGTTTTTGCTTGCCACTCTGCCCTCGTCACATAACGAAAATCGTAAGTGGTGACGTCGTTTGTCGATGGATCCGCTGTGAATTTTGGCTTTATTAATACATAGGCCTAAATAATGTTGCCCATATGATAACAGTACAACATCTCAATGCTGTCATCTACCAAGAATGTTTAAGAAATCCTTTAAGATAACGGCAAACCAATAATATTTTTCACTCATAATGGTGTTCTAAAGTTGTAAGTTTCGTTGTGAGATACATCATGTGGATGCGCCATAACAATGAGAGTAGATTGAGTTGTTATGATCGGGTATCCCATTTTATCTATTTAATTCTGGCGGTAAATAATTCGACAGGAGGAACATCTACAGTTTGACTTCGAATGTAAAATTCCGCTATGTAATATTATGTTTATTAAATGTGTTAAATGTACATAATCCATGTAAACTTTCTCACAATAACACAAGATAGTGTAGACAATGACAGAGGAAAGTGAAGATATTGCACGGCCCTTATGTAATTACATATTATGTATATTAATTTTACCTTTATCAACTGAAGGGTATCCGATAGAGGAACTTATAATGCCAAATAAAATTAATAATGCGATCATTTTCGTCGAAGTTGTTGAACAGTTGAGACAAAAATCTGCAATACAAAATGTTATTATTATTATTATTTTTTTATTGCTTAGATAGATGGACGAGCTCACAGCCCACCTGGTGTTAAGTGGTTACTGGAGCCCATAGACATCTACAACGTAAATGCGCCACCCACCTCGAGATATAAGTTCTAAGGTATCAGTATAGTTACAACGGCTACCCCCACCCTTCTAACCGAAACGCATTACTGCTTCACGGCGGAAATAGGCGGGGTGGTGGTACCTACCCGTGCGGACTCCCAAGAGGTCTTACCACCAGTGAAAAATGTTAATCTATCTATATATATAAAAATGAATTGCTGTTCGTTAGTCTCGCTAAAATTCGAGAACGGCTGGACCGATTTGGCTAATTTTAGTCTTGAATTATTTGTGGAAGTCCAGAGAAGGTTTAAAAGGTAGATAAATATGAAAATGCTCGGCATTAAATAAAAATAGCAATTTTGTTTTTCCTTTGATGTGTCCGCCGTCGGACGGATTCCTTTCGTTTGTTTTAAGTTTATTTTATACAAAAGCTAGGTATTTTATTTCTCGATTGAGGCACTACGACGTCTGCCGGGTCAGCTAGTTATTCATAAAAACAACCATTTGATGATCACGTATGTTATATAATATTATAGTTAATTTTCTAGGTAACGATATCAAACATTAGAGATAACATAGAATGTTATGTGATAAGATTTTCATCTTTGGTATGTCCGTTGGTTATCATAATTTATCGGACGGATGTGTGATAGAAAAGCCTGTGTTCCATACAGTATGGCAAACGGAATGAAATGAATGTAGAAACGATGCTACTGGCCCTAAATTCGGCCCAGTAATTACGTACAATTTAGATAAATCGATTTGATTACATGATTCTACGTTTTTACCGCGTTAAAGTCATTCACTAACAGATACTAAAATTAAAATTATTTTTACGGTTTAATTTTGCGTTTTTTTTTCTCTATCATTATGTTCGTTCCGATTTTTTTTTTAAATTTAGAATTCGAATACTTTACAGGTTTCGTGGCGGCACGGAAGACAGTTGTGCGATGAGTTAATTTTAATTATTTCTACGTCTCGCGAGCAGTGATGTTAGTTACTTAAATATGTATGTTTTATTTATATATGTATATATGTATGTTCTAGAAACTGTTCCAATAGGTATTATTATTGATAACAGTACACGAATGCCTTAATTACGTCACACGCGTCAAAAAGTCAAGACCATGACCACGTTTCCTTTTCTTTGGCAAATGTATTAGTGATTAAAAGCTCAATTTAATCACGCTTATTCGGATTTTTGTTTGGTTTATTTCATATTTTTCGATGCGTTTTTTCCCTTACCTATTCGCTGGCAGTAGCTATTTCAGCTACGCCCTGGGCGGGTAGATGAGCTCACGAGCTCAACCTGAGAGAATTTGCTAATACTAGGCCTAGCAAGAGCAATGCTTCGCAGAATCTACTATCGGATCGGATTCGCGACCCACTGAGAAGATCCGGCGAGAAACTCAGTGGGCTGTGACTGTGTGTCCGAGATGTCAGCGAAAAGTTAGGACCCCGTAAATAATGCAGTGCTCTCGCACAAAATAAATGTGAGATTAAATCTAATATTTTAATTCGTTATTAAGACGTCTAATTGAATCTTACATATTGATACCGTAATTCACTTTACCGATGCGTTCAAGTAAATTCATTAAATATTAATAATGTTTATTTATTTAGTTCGATTTTTAATTTTGTTACTCCTGCGTTATAGTTCGATCTTTTGAGAGTATATCATAAATTGTCCGAATTTTAATTCAAATAACTCTACACAATATTTTAGCTCAATACACGCACAACAACTAATAATACGCAAACGTCTAGAACACGAACAAAGAAATAAACTAAGTCACAAATATTTATGTAATACATTTTACATACTTATGATTTTCATTATATAATGAATTTGATTTATATCGACGTTTATTTATATAAATATTTATTTACATAAATATTTAAATTCGATTCGATGCCTCACAAAAGAAAAAAGTATGTGGCGGAGCAAAAAATTACTTTAATTCTTTATATTAATATATTTCGGGGGAAACAAAACGGAGATACATTTTAAATTACATACGATATTGTTAGAATTCGAAATTTAAAAAAAAAACCGAATATTTACTCCGCTAATTGACTCTGGATGATGCGGAGAATATGCTGGCAATGTATTCTATCAAAATAAATAGGACTGATTACATTTAATTTATAACGTGCATCAAAGTGAGCATTTAAATTTGAATCCCTTAAAGCATTCATTACATTTAATAGGAAAGCAGTGTATCTTAAACTCGGAATCACCTTAACTCGGAATGTATTATAGATTTATATTTAATAACTGTAACAAAGTAATAGTTTCACCTCCTACAATTTAATAGGGACAAGCGCGATAGTGAATAACTATTCAGAGAATACTTTACTTGATCTTTATTATTATACAAAATGAGTGGTCATTATTTCCCGCAATACGTGACGTCTATTAAAAATAATCTTTGCAATCCTGAATAATACGCATTCATAATATAACTGACAAAACTAATCAAGTAACACAAGTATTACATACTACTATTTACAGGTTTTAAATTTCCCTAAGATAAATACCAATTAATTGATACAAGTCAAGATATAAATATAAATTTGACAATTGAAGCCATAGAATTATGTGCGAAATTTAATTTTTTAGAAAATAGTTTAGATACATTCCAGAGATTAGTACCTATTATTGACGTTGATAAAATTAATAACAAATAAAATAATCCATACCTTAAAGCGACAAATTACACAAAAACTAATTTACTTTTGAAATTACTTGAATGTAATTCTAGTATTTCATTGAAAATTTATAAATACTAATTGTAAAATTTTATGCCGAAGTACAATCTAATTCAGTTCGGGCGTAGTTTCGTTCAGATATTATACCACAGCCTCTGAACAGATGTTTGTTATATAGTTATAGTATACGGATGTTTTTATAGCTGCTTATTCGTCGAGGTGAATCCCCCTGAGAGCAATATCACGACGAAAAGTCATACACGAAACGGACAAAAGAAATTAGTTTAAATTCTAAGCCGACAGGTTTTGACCGAGAATCCGTCCGTAGTTTTTCTAAATGATTTATTTTTCTTTTTAAAGCAACCATATTGTTCAAATATGTATTCCTGATATTTTTCATATGACGAGTCACTAGTTTGGGATTATGTTTTTCACCGTTACTCTTATTAATATAAAAAAGCCTGCCTTATTATTAACTAGTATCAATTTATAATAAAATTGCAGGGTAAGAGGCTGTGTGAGAAAAAATATTGAGCATTGTCGTTGTGTTCGAATACGATTTTTGCATTTTGTTATCATCAATGTTTAATAATTATCATTGATTTAATTATATTAAGGTCAATATTAAATAAAATGTAAAAGAAGTGGAACTAAATACGTAAAGTAAAGTAAATAATAACTTGAGCTTCCAGATTTTTCCGTACAAAACTATCGAATTTCCAAGCTTAACCAATTAAACGTGTCTTGTAAATAATTTAATTAATTAATTTTTATTAATGACGATTAGATACAATGAAACATATGAGTCGTCTATTATCAAAGGTGGCAATCTGTACATTTGGAGAAAAAAAATGTTATTGATATGTCAATACAGATTAATTTGAATATAATCGTCTCCTTCAAAGAATACGGTTCAAAACCTGTATTAAATAAAGATTAATACTTAACCTGTTATTTATCTAAGATGTCGTTCAGAAGAGTTTTGTGACTGCCAATGGAATACAAAGTCAATAATTCGTTTTTCTGATTTACCAATAATTGTCCAAAAGTCACATTGCCGACTTTGATAATAGTCGACTCATATATACGTTAAGAACGAAGTTTTTTGGTTGTCAGTGTGTGATTTTGTGTTGAAATTCCTTTTGTTATGTATGTACATTTACTTTATCCAATAAAGGTCCACGTTACTGATCTTTAAAGGAGAGAAATTGTATAAATAGAATAGCGTTATATCAAAGAAAGTTGTATAGCAAGCAGAATCATCTGTACACGTGATAAAGTTCTGTTGTTAAATTCAGTAATCATACGATTTTTCATACAAATATAATGAATTTCACATACAGAGCAAAATCGTTAAAATACTTTGTTTAATTGTACATTTGAAACAAAATCATAAAAACGGTAAGTGTACAAAATTACTCCTTTAATCAACCTGAGGTTACATGTTTTGTGTAAGTGGTTTTAAATTTAAAATTACTACTCGCTCACAAATTATTTTGCGAAGCATAAACTTTTTACCCTTCCTTGTCTATATATATACGAAGTTGCATCTTTTGTTAAAACTTGTCCCAATAGATTCACCAAGATGTCTAATGTGGCAAACAGAAATCGACGCGACGATAAACTATGTTTTCCAAAATCTAAAACTACATTAAAGAATAATAGTATACTAGGTATGAGCGTTAGGATATTTAATAAGCTACCAAAGAAATTAAGAGACTTAGACGATTTTAAGAAAAAACTAAAAGATAATCTCATTAGTGGAAATTATTATCACATAAATGATTTTCTTAGGGACGACATTGAAAATAAATGGAATTTTTAATTATTAGTTGAATTATGGATGAATGAATGGTAAATTATATAATATTATAATATCTTGCACAAATGAAAATGGAAACCTATAATACTACTACTAATCCTACTTGTTTATAAAAAATCATAAATTATCATAAAAAATATCTAACTTTAAATGACATGTACGTCGTATATAATGCTTTTTACAGTGATTAGTTTACTTACGCAATAAGATTTTTATTCACAGGTACGCTGTACTGAACAACATGATTAGGATATTATGGTGTTTACCATCGGACGGTCGCTTAAAAACTGATTGGACATTCTCGAATGACTAAAATAATTCACATAGAGATGTTGATCTCAACAGGTCTCAAATATTTAACTAAATACAATCAAGAATATTTTAACTAGATTTTGCTCTGTATAGTAGATTCAGGCCGATGCTAAATCTTGAGAAATGCTATACCTATACCTAATTGCAACTCAGGAATGAGATTATTTTGGATTTTTATCGAGTTCGAAGAAAGATGTGTATTTTTGTTGACGGTGAGTGATTTGTCATTGATACTAGCAATGAGAGGGGAATAGCCAAGTCGCTGCTTATCACTGAGGACTCTCGTCAAATTTCGTGAAGAGCGCAGCAGTTGGGAATATCGTGCAGGGAGAGTTAAATGTAGAGCTAGTAGGTGGCAGTAGTGATTTCTGGACACACTGAACTAAAACTTTTTACTGTAGGTAGGACTTCTTGTGAGTCCGCGCGGGTAGGTACCACCACCCTGCCTATTTTTGCCGTGAAGCAGTAATGCGTTTCGGTTTGAAGATTGGGGCAGCCGTTGTAACTATACTTGAGACCTTAGAACTTCTATCTCAAGGTGGGTGGCGCATTTACGTTGTAGATGTCTATGGGCTCCTGTAACCACTTAGCACCAGGTGGGCTGTGAGCTCGTCCACCCATTTAAGCAATAAAAAAAATATCTGCCTCTCACTTAATAACAAGTCATTCGAGGTAAGTCATGACTATGCTGACCCGTTTAGCGCAGAGCATATATTGTCTACACGTCACCACCAACCCACTGGACGCCGAACTTCGTTGCTACCACGACCACCGGACCACTCTATCGGTGGGGTTATTCGAAATTCATCTAAATGACGACGCTGATTCGAACTTAGGTATACCTCGCTGGGCCAGAACTATTGTGAGTCCGGAAGTGTCGTTACCGTATTGCTCTTTGACAAGACGCGTGTAGAGCAGTTCATACATCGTATTTTTTTGTCTATTTACATCGCCAAACCTGTATATGAAAGGGAACCCAAATACTTTTGTTTCGAAAGGGCTTGGTACTTTATCAATCTTAAGATATTCCTTTTATGTAGTAAACAATTATTGTTATTTTCGCGACAGGGGGCCGAGCCTCAACGAGGTGTCCGCAAGTAGGGGGCATGTGGGCTATGTGGGATTTGACGGTCTCCAGATGTTGAGAGCAAACCGTGGGCCCAAGAATGTTTTAGGACCTTACCCACAAAAACGACTCCCTTTGCACTGTTTTACCCGAAATCCGATCCGGTCGGGGTCAAAACCCGAGCAGAATAGGAAGGGTCTCGCGGCCAACACTACAAACAGACCAGCGATGTCACTCCGAAGACGCCCGGCCGACGGGTCGTCGAGGCGGTCGTCGACGACCGATGACGCCGGTCTCATGTTGTATACACTGGTTTAATCTCATCATAGCAGCTATAACTCATCATAGCTTTTTTACTGGTGGTAGGACCTCTTGTGAGTCCGCATGAGTAGGTACCACCGCCCCGGCTATTTCTGCGGTGAAGCAGTAATGCGTTTCGGTTTGAAGGGTGGGGTAGCCGTTGGAACTATACTGGGACCTTAGAACCTATATCTCAAGGTGGGTGGCGCATTTACGTTGTAGATGTCTATAGGCTATGATAACCACTAAACCCCAAGCAATAAAAAAAAATTAGGCTCTCTTATTGGTCTCTTGTTGGACAAAGGACAAAGGAAATTGTATTAAATTGTAATAAAGATTTTCGTTTATCAATTTCGTACAGCAACGTTGATGTCTATAGATTTTTTCGTTTTTATTAGTGCATGCTAGTAGAACGTATATGTTTTTGAAAATTCTATTACTGTACCTCTGAACCTTCATGAATCTAGTCTGAAAGGAGCAACTACAGTCTCGTCTGAATATACTTAAAGACGTAGACGTAGCTATGTAAAAGTCGTAGTAGGTATTTCGTATTTCCTTGTTTCCTCGTTCAAAATAAAGAGACTTTGGCTATGCCAGACTTCATTTTTATATATACTGGGTGCTAGGGACCGCTTCCGAAAACAAAGACAGACGATAGTACTAATGACAACTTTGATGACGGGCCGGAAAAAAACCCATCATGATTTAAAAAAAATCATATTTTAAAACGCTCCATCATAGTACAGCTAAATGAAACGATAGTTTCATAAAAAATACATTACAAAACTGGAGTTTATATAAACCAGGTATCTCTTTAAATTTTTACTATAATATCATTTACGTAGCTCATGTATAGCTTAACTTGTCATTTTGGTTATTATTCATTTCCGTGTGCTAAATAATTTGGCATTTGGCATTTGGCAATTTTAATAACCGTGTATCTAATTGGAAAAGGACAATTATTAACATATTCTACCATAACATAAACAAATTGATCACCATACATGTAGCTCTTCGTGTAAATTCCTGAAGGATAAAAATATTGGTGTTGACATTTACACATAAACTAAATGTTTGTTTCTTTATAGAAACTTCAAAAATTATCTTCTTCTTATTCTCCACCTTATCCCACTAGATGAGGTCGGTACAGCAATTTTTTTCTCTTCCTTTCTCTTCCCCGTCCACCTTGCACTACCATTTCCATACATCTCCTGGTGATATGCATCTTATCTCTACGCATCACATGTCCATACCACGCTAACCGTTCAAACTTCAAAAATTATTTAATTTATTGTCTTTCAATCGTTATGATGAGTTAAAAGCTGTCGAGACTACGTATCTTACAAGAACTCCTATGTTGAACTATTATTCTAAATTATAATTATTATTATTGGTTTTGGAAATTCGTATATTGTGCTGCGTAATCGATTAGCGTTCGACGCAATGTGGATGCAATCTGCCGGTGGATCGATTGTTAGTCTGTGAAGTACCATGTAGTCCTGCCTATTGCTGTCGTTCTTGTTTGAAGAGTGTATAGGCGTTAGATTAGAAGAAGCGCAAACCCTGACGCAAAATGTGTTAGCGAAGTGCTGCTATTGTTAGGGCGGTTGTTAGAAAAGTCTCCGAGGCTGTGCCCTGAGATCTCACCTAGACGTTTGGTAAAGCTAGTATAACCCATTGAGGTTACTAGCAGTAGGCAGGCAAAAGAAGGAAGCAAAATAAGTGTTGGCAATTATATTGGACGTAAGCTAGTTGTCCCAATTAGTGCAATAAAAATAACTTGCCCATAACGTGCTTTTGACAAGATTGCTTGCAAAACCTGTACAATATTTATTTAGACTAATATTAAAATTAAAATGAAATTTCTAAGGATTTATGAGCAGAAGTGTACTTGTATACTGTACTTTTGAACCACAAAGTACCTAAGATCACTTGGAGCTACCGAGTATCTGCATCCTGTTGCAATGTGATGACTGACGTAAGTATTCTAGAACCATCATTACATGTTCGGTACACAAATCTTATCTTATTGTTATTATTATTATACCTTTAAACGAGCAATTTTTGTATAATATATATAATCTGAATCTCGGAAACGGCTCCAACGATTTTCATAAAATTTAGTATACAGGGAATATCGGGGGCGATAAATCGATCTAGCTACGATTTACTTTCAGAAAATGTCGTTTTATTCGTGTTTTCAATAATCAACTCTTCCCGACATCTATTGGCGAATAATAATATAATTTTTCTTAATTGAGGGCAACTAACTGCTTTAAGGACACGACAAGATGGCGTTATCAAAAAAAAAAGCAAGCGAAGCTCGGTCATCATCTAATTAATAATTAATTATGCCGATTTCTAGGATATATCATCGCATTGTGTTGATTTGATTATTACGTCATATTTGTGCAGTGACATTGACCTACACTTAGTAACATTTTCCTAAGTAAAATTTTCCTTTACATAGCTATGTGTATTGTGTTGTTTTTATTGGCATAAAAAGGTAGACGAGCCACGATAGTGTGACACTATGTATCGTATTTTGACTGTTAAGTATAGGATGGTGGGAATTGATCCCACATCGGGCAAACATAGGCTATTATGTTTGTTTGCTCTTTCTCTAAGTTTTTTATTATCTATGTTTAAATATGTCAACGTATAAAAGTATAATATGCATATTAATCTCTGGTTTCCATAGTACAGGGAATCCTAATTTGGGACCAGATTTACGTGCGTGACTTCTTCCCAGTTATTATTGGAACGAAGTTCCTTACGGCAGGCTTGGAGGGGATAGGGATTTTGCTGCGCGAACGAACTGAAAAAAATGTGATAGTAAAACCGTAAGAAAAAATCCGTGGAAAAAAGTGCGTGGAATAAAACCGTTAAATGAGACGTGCGCAGGCGCGACAGTCGCGTACACAAGCGAGTAGTATATAATACCTTTCTCTTTCTCCCTCTTTCTTTTCGTTCTCTCATCCATTCTCTTTCTATTATTATTTCTATTTTTCTATTTCTATATAATTTTATGTTGTCAAACAAAAATAAAGGGACATATTTTGTTATTTTAGTTGATAATTTGAATTACGATGTTTTTTTTATTTTAAGTAATTTATTATTTCCTAAAATACTGAATTTCCTAAATACTTTCTTGTACTTAAATAAAAACTAATCAGCAAAATTTAAGAGAACAATCAAGAAAACCTACATAAAATTGAGCATGATTTTTTTTGCAATTTGTGTCGATTCTACATTAGCCGAAGGAACTTCGTTCCTACCTGGTGTCCCACGACACCACATATTTTATTATATATTCCTCCCTGCGTCGTATTCCTCATTGCTGAGGGTCGTGACCGCCCTTTTGTATCACCTTCGCACGCACGATCTTTCTCCATCCATTCTTGTCTCTGGCGGTGTGAAGGGCGTTGTGAAACGTGGAATCAAGAGCGGTGCGGATCTGGTCGGACCAACGTATTGGGCTGCGCCCCCGAGGTCTTTTCCCATCTACCTTACCAGTCAGTCCGCACGGGTAGGTACTACCACCCCGCCTGTTTCTGCCGTGAAGCAGTAATGCGTTTCGGTTTGAAGGGTGGGACAGCCGTTGTACTGTAAAAACTGAGGCCTTAGAACTTATGCCTCAAGGTAGGTGACATCATTTACTTTGTAGATGTCTATGGGCTCCGATAACCACTTTACATCAGGTGAATCGTGAGCTCATCCACCTAACTAAGCTATAAAAAAAAAGATAAGACCCCCGGTGTACTTGTAGGGGAACTCGATGCGAAAATCTATCTCGGCATTTAGTCGGCTTTCCAGGACCTCCTGTAAATTATAATTTAAACAAAAATAGTTAAGTATGTTAAAAGGTCTCAGTGAGCTATAATGACAATACTCCATTGTCTACAATTTATTGCGATTTTACAGGCTTAATACTAGTTATGAACAATTATGAGCAATATATCATATTTGTCATAAAGTATTTTGTAGTACAAAGAACGATGTTCGTCATTTTTTTATACTTTTGTTCGCCATTACACAATCCTAATAACTAACACTAACAATAAAGGACAGACCCAAAAGACAAATCACCTCATTTGAAAACAAATATTAGTAAATGCTACGTTTTTGTATAAGCACGGAAGCATTACGCCCTAAAAGTAATTTTTGAAGCATTATTTACTATTTTTCTGAAGCAAATATTGATTGCATCTAATTTGTGGGAAATATTCAAACCACCATAATGCAAACTAAGGTGGCCAAGAGACATGCGCAACACTGAAAAAGTGTCACCTTGTCCCCCACTGGCCTCGGGTGCCTTATTCAAAGCTCAAACGTAAATTGTTGAAAAAGTTTAGACGCAATACGAAAATAACCAAATTAGGGCTGCGCTAATGTCTTGTTTGTAATTAATTATATAAAAAAACAAAATTATTTCGTCGGTGGTTACCAGTAAGTACTATGGTGCCAAATTAAGTATATGTTTGGAATCAGCACACTCTTCAAAGAAATGTAATGTAAATAAAATATAAGATAAAGGGAAAAAATAATGGGGATTGAACTGGATTGAATGCGAAGCGTTTAATTAATTAATTTAATTTTTTGATCTGAGATGCATTAGTGAAAGACCTATTTGTGGGTCTGACGTATTTTGCTAAATTCATAACGCAATGCTTCGAATATGTTAGATCTGACTCCAATCTTAACCGCATATTACCAATTTATGTATTTTAACTTTTTTTTTTATTGCTTAGGTGTGTGGATGAGCTCACAACCAGAGTGACGTTAAGTGGTTACTGGAGCCCATAGACATTTACGACGTAAATGCGCCACCCACCTTGAGATATAAGTTCTAAGGTCTCAAGTATAGTTACAACGGCTGCCCCACCCTTCAAACCAAAACGCATTACTGCTTCACGGCAGAAATAGGCAGGGTGGAGGTACCTAAACGCGCGGACTGATCTTGGGATAGTGAGATACTCGCTACGGGTATGTGGTTCATAAGCTGGTGTTAGGAAGCTCTATAAGCGACCGCGTGAAGTGCCTCCACATGAGGAGTCTCTTCTGCCTATTTCGGCTGCGAAGCAGTAATTCGTTATAGTTGAAGGGCAGAAGTTGAGTTTTTCATTTTGAGATCTCGTGTATCAGGTCAGGCTGTGACATTATTAGGCTCCGGTAAGCAATTATCGCTGGGTAAGCCGTGAGCTCCTAATCTTTAGCAATGACTATTTTGGAGGACAAGGGCAGGAAAAACTTGGGAATGGGTAAGTAATTCAAAACAAGATGCGTCATGAAGATAAGTACGATTAATGTAGTAGTAATAGCAAGACGTGACCTTAGCTACGAAGCCGTACAACCTAGCCTCAATATAAGGTTCTATATATCCACCAACAACGTAAATATGTATCCCAAAATAAAATCAAAATCAAAATTTTGTCTGTTTATTTAGTTCTCTAAAATTAACGTGTCCAGGATGATAATTATCCCAGGTTGAAACCTCTTCCAGCAGCGCTCCTCCCGGACATTCTGTCGTCATAGCCTGATTGTGTCCTATTAGCTTGTAATCGGAGCTAATAGCTCCCATTTCCACTCCCGTGGACAGAAGCTTTTTTGTCGTAGCCAACTGCTCAGCTGAAGGTGTCTCGACTGAGAAAAGAAAATATAAATATTTATATGTGAAGTTTTAACGAAATCAATACGGATTCTGTAATATTAAATACCAAAGAGGCATTTAAAGCTTCAAATAGGAATATGCTTCTTTTTCCTGTCTTTATCCCACTATGGGAGTCAAGGCAGTATGTATGCTTTTCCGTTCAGACCCATCATTCGTCCTCTGTCACGGCACTCACACCCTTCCACGCATATTCTCATTCACACAACCCGTTCAAGTGTTTTTAAGATTCCCCTTCGGTTACATTATCGACTATTTTCATTCCCAGGATCTTCTTTGGTAACATCAAAAGATCACGATGTGTGTGTGGGTGCGTGTGTGTGTTTTTCCTTATTTTATTTTTATTTCATAGACGGGTGAATGAGCTCCTGGCTCACCTGGTTTTAAAAGTGAGTACCTGCTTGCGGGATTCGAACACCGGCATAGTATCATCATTCGATACGAATACAGTAGGGATCTTATTCTTTAGGCCACGACGAATTCTACTTCCACAAAAGTGAGAACGCACCGATATTTTTGCTTAGATAGGTGGACTTACTCGCGGAAAAAATGGGCAGGGTTGTGCTAACTGTAAGGAGTCACAAGGCACACTACCACACATGACTGTTGGTCTCTAATTATGTGTGTGCATGTTTGTGGTTTACCTCTCCAATCTCCAATCAGGCAAATGCCGATGCTCAATTTATTGGCTGGTCCAGCATGAATACCTATGACATTCCACCCGCGGCCTTCGTACGCCACTCCATCGCCGCCCACGCAGAAACTGTAAATAAAATATTAATTTGTTCATTACTGTAACTTGTAACATAATCTATGGATTTATGTTGAAGATGGTGTTTCATAAAAAAATAGCAAGTGTCATAACAGTAATTTTCGCGCGCACTATGACATGTCCTTCTTCTAATAAAATATTTTTTATTATAGGAGCTTTAAATATTTAAATTGTACACAAAAACTGTTTATTCAACACGTCTTTACAGCCTCCAATTATTTACTTGTCAAGTCATCGAAGTTCACAGCAATTTGTTTTTTTTTTTAATTTATCTAACACCGGATGTTTCTTTACAGTTTTGCATAATGTGTTTTTTACTGAACGTTGACGATTTTCAAGAGTTTGTTATTTTCCCTAAGGAAAATAATAGTTGAAAATGTCCAAGCGGATCTTTTTAGTGGTTTGTAAAACAACTTTTGTGTTGATGTTACAATTTTGATTTTAAGCTTTAGAACGATTTACATTGGGGATCGATCTGGGTCATTGTTGAAATAATTCCGAAAAAATATAGCTTATTGGAAAATACAGCACATTAAGTATTTAGAACATAAAGTGGTTGTGTCCTAAAGAATAAGATGTCTAGTGCACTAGAATCGCATGACACGACCACGACAGCATTTAAATCCCTCGAGAGTGTATTAATTCTCCAACAAAAAAAAAAAAAATTAACCTCAAGTTTTCGAATTACTTCCATAATTATCAAATAATATCGTATATAATAAAAAAATGTAAGCTGCGTAACTATTGAGAAGTAAAACTCTGTGGGTTCCGATAATCACTTAACATCAGATGAACCGTAAGCTCATGTGAATGGAACAAAAACCTTGTAGGGACACAGTTTAGCAGCGTATGCAGTTTTGTATATCGCTTGCATTTAGTCAGTCGTACATAGCCCACCCGACACGGCAGACACTGGTGAATATACGGAGTTAAATTGTAATCAACTTGTTTTATTAATAATGGGCAGTTTACTCTTTACTCTTGCTAAAGCTACCGTGCAAACCTTAAAACAACATTCTACAAACTGCTTAAAACGTTGCCTAAAACTAACGAAGGTGATTAAGTATATTTCACTATTGAAGTAGAACTTTTTTAGGCGCGTTTAGAATAAAATGTAATTCGCAACAGATTGGTTACGGCTAGAGAGAAAAGATACAAATTAGGAAGAGCGAGAGTGAGAAAATAGACAGAGCGTCTCGCGAGTCACTTCACCGTGGAGAGAGAGAGAAAGCGAGCTAGGTAGTTTCTCTTTCACACATTCCGTTTTCGGGCGTCAGCCACTATAGGTCTACCAGAATCTGATGGCAAAAAAGGGAAAAAAATAGCGATTTTTATATGGCAACAAAAAAAAAGTCATCTGTCAAAACTGAAATTTCGAGAAATTGTTTTTGGTTTGGCTTCAAATTTCCTTTAAAAAGTGGTGAAAATGTCGAAGAAACCTCTTCGATCGCAAGCAAGAAATATTGTTTTCAATTTTTATCAAAGAATACTTGTTGAACAAGGCGCAGAACAAACACAATCATCGATATTGAGCCATGTGCAAGCGTTGACTGGTTAGTAGGAATGACACGTCTTGATACTTTGGTTTATTGCATTTTCGTGAGTATTATGTATACTAAGCTTTGGATTATTTCAGGTGTTTCTAATACTACCATAAGACGAATTGTTGCTAGATCTAACAGAGGCGTATTTAGTAAACCCGGTAAAAAGAGGAAAGGTGGCAAAAATACTGCGCCTTCCTCGTCTTCCTCTTCCGATGAAGACTTTTTTATGGATGTGCAGTATTTGAACCCATTTTCAAGTTCTGATAGCCTATAATTAATTAATTAATTCATGAACAGAGTAATTGGAGTTTTCATCTCAATTTCGAACCCCATATTCCACAGTAAAATGTTCAAAAACTATCCTTGATCATTGCATAAATTTTTATATTTGCATGTATCACAAAGAATCAGCCGCTATAAGAAAAAAAGTATCAAAACGTTTTACTCCAATTTCCCCAATATTGCTAGCGTCAATTTCTTTTTCCCTTTTTTGCCATCAAATCCTGGTAGACCTATATGTACATGGCTTATTAGTTTCTCATTGCTCCTGTAGATGGCAGTAACATAGTAACTATCTTATATTTATTATTAATGAAGGATATGAAAAAAAAACATATTTTTCTATAATATATAATTTAAAATATTATATATAAATAAATGGTAAAGAGGTCGTTCCTTATATACACAGCATTCTCTATTAAAAGATAAATTTGATTTAAATTTCATTTAAGGGTGACAAATGAAGAAAACCACAAATTTTAATACTACACACCGCAAAAGAAATTCCACTTCCTTCACGTGCACCAAGCTACACGCCCGCCATTTTTTTTAGCAGTTTGACTGTAGCTTGTCGCATCCTTCCGTTGAATAAGTCAAAACTGATTCAGTGATATTAGGGTCGGAAAAAATAACACCACAACAATATTTACTAATAGAATACAAAACGAACTCATTATATGTGAGCACAGCTATTAATGCACACAAGACCGTATTTTAAAATGTTTCTCGCACCCTTACTTATTAGAAAGATTCCATGAATGAAAATCTCGTACATTTTTATCAATAGTTTGCAACACGTGTTCGAATACGTGATCCGTGTATAATGTGTACTACTTTATTGTGGCTCCAAAAGGTTATCATTGCCAGCACGTCATCACAGTAATGTTAGGTTTGAACAGCAAAGGAGGTCGTGTCAACACAATCGCAATTATTTTAGCGTAGTTGGGGTATATACGTATTAATCTACGGAACGTTGCAGAGGTCACTAATAAATGAGATGTTTTACGAGGACAAACGATAAAATATTCCACAAAGATTACGTACTTTTGAATACATTTATAATCGTGACATTTAATTTTAAATAGACGTAATGATACTTTTAAATTTCAGTGCAATTTAAATTTTAACTTAAAACAATTAGGATCTAGCCAATAGTTTTTAAGATCGCATTTGTACTGTTTCGTCATCGACTCAGTTCGATCGAAATTCGATTCTAATTAAAGACACTTTAAGATCGCATTTGTACTAACTGTTTCCACAACTATGCCCGTTCAATTATAATCTCTGCTTCGCATCGACATAAGTTTCAATTTGGCATACACATTTAGATGTCGAATTTAAACGATAACCAACCTTAACTTGGTACATTTACAGCGCATTTCTAAATAAAATCTCTATAATGGGACAAGGAGAAAGAGATCACGGCTCACTGCGGGAGTTAAATGGTTACCAGAGTCCACAGACTAAAACAACATCAATGCTTCTACCTACCTTGAAACATGACTTCTAAGATACAATTTGACAGAACAAATTGGAAATATTTTGATTATGTCCATGGACTTAAGTAACCACCACGGACCATCGCGTAATTGATCAAATTAGAACCATAAGGTCGCGTATCCGTGGTCAAAATTTCAAAATAATCAATTCACGATTTTCAACAAACAAAAGGAAATAACCAAAATAATAAAAGTGATACTATAATAAGTGATTGGGGAAAATAAAATAAAACAAAAAACTTACTGATATCCAATGTCACCCCAGCCTAAGGAATTGTGGTATTTCTGCATGCTTCGCATATCTCTCATACATCGGGTTGTGGTGTTGCATACAGTCGGAATAGCGGTGTGATGTATAATGACGTAGGGCACCGGCTTGTTCAGAGGTCTTGTGTCTTTTGAAGGAACAGCGCCCCAGCAGTCGCGTGAGCAAACCGGGAAATCCACGGATAGATGATCTGTTGAAAACAAGATAATACAATTATATCTCTAGATCGATTGATATTATTTTTTTCTTAGATGAATGAACGAGCTCACAGCCCACCTGGTGTAGTAGTTACTGGAGTCCATAGACATCTACAACGTAAATGACGCCACCCACCTTGAGATATAAGTTTTAAGATCTCAGTATAGTTAAAACGGCTGCCCTACCCTTGAAACAATGAAGCACAATTTTAATTTTTTATTGCATAGCTAATAAATATTTCCATGGCTAAAGGTTATTCGTTGCTCGTCCTGGGTGAAGGCTGCTCACAACCCGCCCGATGTTAAGCTGTTATCGGAGTTCGTACAAATCACAATGTAAAAGCCACCACATTGGAAATGAGACCCAAATGTCAATTTTGTAATGCAATGACTGTACCGCGCCCCGAGCCAGATAGGCAAAAATAAGCATTCTCCCTCATTGGTAATTAGAGAAGTCAAATATCTTTAATCAGTATCAGTTGATATTCTACGAAGTATTCCAAGATGATTCACCTTTTTCGATAAGCCGAGGATGGCTCGAAGTGTAAGCACAAAAAACTATGAAAATACAAAATGACAGAAACATGATTACTGTAATACTCAACTGTAAATAATGAAAAAAACAATTTGCTGTCCGCTATTTATATCAAAATACTAAGGCGCAATACTCGAATGAACTGAAGTGAGAATCATTACCGAGGTACTTTCCCGAGATCGAATTTCAAGGGAATATTGCTCGTTAAATAATATTATTGAAATTCGGCGAAGTTTCCATCTAAAACGTTAGGAATAGCAGAATTTCGCAGGAAGTCAATATACCTTATTGTTCCAATCCTTTTGCTGTTTCAGAGGATATTTTTGTGGAATGTCCTTGCAGCCATACGTTTTTTCCAAATAATACTTAAAAGATTTTGATCATCTTCGAAAAAAAAATTTAACATATTATTTAATAAACATTTTGGTAGATTTCATAGTTAAAACTGTTATATAATAAAACAAGCGGCCCGCTCCGGCTCCGCTCGGGTCTTTAACAACAATTTCAACGATATTTGACGTTGTTTTATTTTTTTAAATAAAAGAAGACTTATTGCGGCATAACTATAATAGTTAGACATATGCTGTCCCGACACTTTTTGTAAATAATAATGTGTTCTACAAAGTCGTAGTACATTATTTTATTCTACCATCAATAGTTTTAGCAGGGCATGGGTTACATTATTGGAGTTTTAGTAAGGGCCACTATTTTTTTTTCAAAAAAAATTATAGCCTATGTCACTCGGAAATAGCGTAGCTTCCAAACAGTGAAATAATTTTTCAAATTGGTTCAGTACTTTCGGAGCCTATTCAATACAAACAAACAAACAAATCTTTCCTCTTTATTATATTAGTATAGATTGATGTTTAATTCCTTAATCTCTGTCATGCTCTTCTTTGAACTGTGACCTCGGTGTACTTGTATCAAGATACTATTATAGTGCGAAAGGGTTCAAATAGCTGGGGCCAGTAAAAAAATTTTTTATCCATATTTTATACAAAAATACTTTGCTCGTGTTACTACTTATGATTTCACCGAAATCATATCATCCTCATCATCCGCCGACAGTCATCCATGATTATCACATCGTTCAGAGTATAATCTAGTACTAAAATCAAACCCACGGAATTTAATAATGTAAGTGCATATGTAATATGTATAATTTTTTTCTTCTTTATTGCTTAGATGGGTGGACGAGCTCACAGCCCACCTGGTATTAAGTGGTTACTGGAGCCCATAGACATCCACAACGTAAATGCGCCACCCACCTTGAGATATAAGTTCTAAGGTCTCAGTATAGTTACAACGGCTGCCCCACCCTTCAAACCGAAACGCATTACAGCTTCACGGCAGAAATAGGCTGGGCGGTGGTACCCACCCGCGCGTACTCACAAGAGGTCCTACCACCAGTAATTACGCAAATTATAATTTTGCGGGTTTCATTTTTATTACACGATGTTATTCCTTCACCGTGGAAGTCAATCGTGAACATTTGTTGAGTACGTATTTCATTAGAAAAATTGTTACCCGCCTGAGATTCGAACATCGGTGCATCGCTCAACACGAATGCATCGGACGTCTTAATCCGTTAGGCCACGACGACTTCGAAGTGGAGTATAATTATGAGAATGAATGATTTCCCCGAATCCTGATCACGCAGGAGCAAGTCACCGTCGTCGCCCTACACATGTCCTTACGGATCCATCAGATCCAATAACTCTTGCATTAGATACCTTTAGCTCTAACACTAGGAGCAGGCTGAGGAACCCCGGTAACCGTACTCGTCGAACTCGACAAAGAGGTCGACGTGCAACCTAACCCATGCATCAGCCCGCTGAGTTTCTCGCCGGATCTTCTCAGTGGGTCGCGATTCCGATCCGGTAGTAGATTCATTCGCGAAGCAATTGCTCTTGAGTTGTTAGGTCTCCTTCGGAGGCGCTCGGNAACTTAGAAATAAACAATTGATTTTTCAGCATAAAGGGTGGTGGGAGCCATTCTACTGTAAATTGATTTTTGATTTAAAAATTAAACTGAAATCAAATCAAGTCGGTGAAAATAGAGACATTCTCTTTCATATTATTTGTACCAGATTTCTTATCACGTTATTCGTTAAAGTAATCATTTTGGAAATATCAACACAGAGAACTCAGTATTTTTTAACATTGAAATTAAATGCTTTTATTTAATCGTTAATATAAAATTAAAGTTTATCTTTAGCAATAAGATGAGTTGAATGTTTTTTTTTTATTGCTTAGATGGGTTGACGAGCTCACAGCCCACCTGGTTTTAAGTGGTTACTGGAACTCATAGACATCTACGACGTAAATGCGCCCACCGATATTCAGACCCATATTGTCGAGTCAAAAAAACACGGATCAGATGAAGATCGTAATGAAGGTCACGTCAGTATGAAGCGGCACAATGGCGCTCAATATTAGATAGTGGGAAATCGAGTATGAGACCGTGTAGGTCCCTGCTATGGTAAAAGACTGATCCATTGTATCTGGCGTTGAGTTTCATTATCCTAATCACGACGCAGTTCCATTAGAATAGCAACGCCACGGATTTAGCTCAGTCTCCTATACCAGGAAGTTATCAATTTGGTGATCTAAGAAAAATTCAACGACGAGATCGCGCTGTCGCGTGCGACCTTAAAAACGCTACTGCTAAATAATATAATCTTTTTCTTTGTAAGAGAGCCACTAATGAGCACAGACAACTTTTTTGTTTGTTTCTTTCATTGAAACAATGTTTCGAGGATTAATTGGCCAGCTGATTCCAGAATATCCATTTTTAATGAAAGAGAATCAATCTTTCATTGCCGATATCTATCTATCTATCTATCTATCTCTATCTATATATATAAAAATGAATTGCTGTTCGTTAGTCTCGCTAAAACTCGAGAACGGCTGGACCGATTTGACTAATTTTGGTCTTGAATTATTTGTAGAAGTCCAGAGAAGGTCGAAAAGGTAGATAAATATCAAAATTCCTTTTGTTTGTTTTAAGTTTATTTTATACAAAAGTTTAGGTCTTTTATTTATCGATTGAGGCACTACGAAGTCTGCCGGGTCAGCTAGTTTTTAAGTAAAAAGGTCAACCCTTTTTACGACTTTTTTTGTCCTCAAATGTCGTGTCCATGTTCGCTTTATTGAAATAGATAATTTAGTCTATATTTTTCTTGACTCCGTATACGACTCAAATGTTAGCTTTGTTGTTAAGTTTTATTGATAACCTCAAAAGACTTTTCTTATTTCAACTTGAAGTATGAAGAAAGCATAACTTGATAGCTGTTAAGACTTATGGTCTTGTTTGTTTGTTTATCAATGCGGTGTAAAACAATTCGAATAAGTTTTCAGAGACATAGTACTTAGTTCGTAGAATAAAATAAAAATTGTTTATTTAATGAACGGGTTACATTGATGAAAGGACTAGTATGTCACATCATATTAACTGAATAGGCCCAAACTGGTTTACACGGGAGCCCTCTTCTTTAGCGTCGCGAAGCTATTAAACAAAGTCTGGTACGACCATTTGATCTACAAACGGTAGAACATGGCGGTCATTCTTGTGCTCATTTTGCGAGACTTTGTCAAACTCTTCGTTTTGGTATCGGGTCGAGGGACCTTCGTTCCTCATGCTTTCTCTCTGCTCATCTTCAGTCTATTTAATGATGACATTATCAGGTAGCCACTGACCCAGTTAGCCCTCATTCATAACAAGACCGTTTACTATTCCTATAGGAACAAATTCTCCATTTGTAACGAAACTTCAGACTACAGTCCTAACCCTCGGATAGTGGTTCCGGAAGTTTTATTTTTATTTTTTTATTGCAAAAATAGATGGACGAGCTCACACCCTACCTAGTGTTGAGTGGTTACGGAAGCCCATAGACATTTACAACGTAAATGCCGCCATCCACCTTGAGATATGAGTACTAAGATCTCAGTATATTAGTAGAAAAATATCTAGTAAAGCTACAACGGCTGCCCCACCCTTCAAACCGAAACGAATTATTGCTTCACGGCAGAAATAGGCAGGGTGGTGGTACCTACCCGTGCGGACTCACAACAGGTCCTACCACCAGTAAAAGTAAAGAGATGCATTTAACACATCACATCTGGAAGATACATTTTTCTTCGGCCAATACCCTAAGAAAGTTGATCGATCGAGGCAGATAGATCAGTTATTAATTAAGGAAAATAAATAAACTTGATTTTCATGAAACAACAATAGCCTTTATTCAGTCCGTAATCGTGTATTCATTTTCAATTTCAATCCCAATTAAGTGAAAAGTGATCCCATTTTGAGATTTCATCAAACAATCTCTGTCCAGGGCATTCAGTGGGAGTGACTTGTCTGTGTCCGATGAGTTTGTAATCGGATCGGATGTGACCGAGCCTCACACCAGCTTCGATCAGGTCCTTGACGGATTGTAGCTGCGCCTGTGGCGGTTTATTAGCTGGAATGAGATTGGATATGTTAAATTTAACACTGTAATTGGTACCTATCTCATATTAAATGTGTAATAATTTACTAGGTATTTTTGGAAGTTAAAGAAATATTTATAGGAACGGATACTAATCGTCAATACCAAGCGCCCTATGAAATTTTATTCTCGTTGAATCTGTTCAGATCTGATTAACTACTACTAGAAATCAATCGCGTGTAACCTCTAAACTCTAAGACGTAACTCAGATCTTGGACAAAAGGGAATTTGGTTGGTTAACATTAATAAACTCGATTTTTTGGTTTTCAACAATGTAATGGTATCTCAAACTTAATGCTATTATTTAATAATAATAATAAAGTATAATAATTACTAGTTAGATTAATACGTTGAAGAAATAGCGAGCAGTAATCGCCGTATGCTGATGTCTACGTAGTGTGGGAACCAAATGGCACCAAAAAACCCCGATTATACTCGAACAAGGAAAAAGCAGAGACAGTATTCTTTATTGTACATCAAAAAATAAATTAACAATGCGATACATTAAATACAAAAAAAGTACAATTGGCGGTCTTATCGCTAAAAGAACGATCTCTTCCAGACAACCATCAGGTGGACAAGAATCATTTGGAAACGAATTACGCGCGGTGTACTAATCCAATGAAATACATATACATACACACATACATACATATATAATTCGTAAATATACAAACAAATACACAATATAAATTACTGTTTACAATACAAAAAAATACTGTTTGCCATTTCACCCAGCTGGACCGAATAAATAACCTTAAAACTTCTAAAATTATGATTAACTCAATGGCCAATATCAGATTTCAACGATAAACCCCATGGCACTCTGTTTAGATTTGATTAAATTCCACTAGCAATCCTGGCAGGTATGTAACTAAAAAGAATATTGGATAAGACGGGACTACGTCAATCGTCGTAATAGAACATTTTGCATATTTAAAATGTATAGCTCTGAAGGAATATTTACTAATAAAATCTCCAATCAACAAGATTCCGATGCTTCGGGTGTTGACGCCGAATGTGTGAGCTCCAAGTGAACTCCAGCCACGGCCCTCGAACACAGTTCCTTCTCCGCCGACAGCGAAACTGTTAAAAATATTAAATGCATAAAATTGTAACTTTCGGCTTTATGAAAATGTATTAAATAGAAAATCCGGATACATACTGTATCCGGTTGGAAGAACTGAATTAAAAAATTACTTTTATTCCAAACATTCCAAATTTTCAAAGGTCATTTAATATTTTGGAATCTTGAATTGAATTTGAATTTGAATTTGAATTTGAATTTGAATTTGAATTTGAATTTGAATTTGAATTTGAATTTGAATTTGAATTTGAATTTGAATTTGAATTTGAATTTGAATTTGAATTTGAATTTGAATTTGAATTTGAATTTGAATTTGAATTTGAATTTGAATTTGAATTTGAATTTGATGTCACATGTATGTCACACAGGAAAATGCTATAGAGCCCATGAATTGTCTATAGGACTAATGCATCAATACTCACGAAGCTCGAAATTTAAACAAAGCTTTATAACATCTGCCTCAAGCGAATCCTACGGTACTTCGAACACATTTCCAGGAAAGACGGAGACAATCTAGAAAAATTGGTGATTTCTGGCAAGGGGAAGGAATAAGATCGCGAGGGCGCAATCCAATGCGTTTTTTTTTATTGCTTAGATGGGTAGACGAGCTCACAGCCCACCTGGTGTTAAGTGGTTATTGGAGCCCACAGACGTCTACGACGTAAATGCGTCACCCACCTTGAGATATAAGTTCTAAGGTCTCAGTATAGTTACAACGGCTACCCCACCCTCCAATGGTCTGACCAGGTCCGCACTACCCTTGATTCGACCGTCTAGGATACGTCGGACTAGCCGAAGACAGGACGAGATGCTACAACATCGTGAGAACGACACTCATGGAAGAGGTGGTCAGGACTCTCAGATATAAGGAGCGCGATACATAATATTGACCTTGAAATTCATTTCTATTTATGTCACATATCTATATATTAATACGTGAAGCAAAAACTTTGTATACCTTTTAACGAAAATTGCGGGGACGGAGGAGTATGAAAATTTCTACACTTATAAAGAATATAGAGAAGAAGTGCACAATGCTAATATTTTTTTTAAATAACGCATAAAAGATACATCAAATCAATAAAGAAAACATTACACATACTACCGTGTATTTGACACACACACGCATGCATACTATTTATTTATTGTCAATCTTTTGTTCTTGACGTCTGTGGTCAAATTGAGAATAGATTAAATATTTTTGTCTATAATGTAGTCTTGGCGAAATCTGTGATAAACGAAGTATAATAATAGTATTTGACAATAGAATCATAATAGTGTACGAACTTATAATTTCAATTAATTATAGTCGAATTTCGACTACTACGGGTCCACTAGTACATAATATTCGATTGATGGTAGGATGATAATATCGAAATGCAAATTATCTGTTATATTATCTCCGGTTATCGTGATTCAATTTGCGTTAAGCGTAAGTGAAATTCGATCATAATCACAAAACCATTCGATCATTTTTTATTGGTATGCAAAGTCACTCCGCATTTTTTGTCTTTGTGTTTTGTATGATAATCTACCAAATCTACGTACTTTACCGATTGTGATTTATGTAGTTTTTTTTTGGATCTTGCCTTATCATATATCACTTTTATTACGCAATGCCACGTAAAGTACTGACATACCTACGATGATTGTACTGTAAAAATTCTTATAGGCGTGTACCCCGCCAAAACATTGAATTACCTACTTATTATCTGTATATTAGGAATATTAAGGCATTAATGATTTTTTTTACATTTTTTACTCGTAAATGTACATAGTTATTTTTTAGTTCAATTTTTTATATTTTACGGCAGATCAAATTGGTCTAAAAGACAGACCTTTTTATTTGCACATCCACTAGGATTTATAATTATTTATTATTTTTTCTAATATCGTCTAACACAATCAAACCCGCGAATTTAATGATTAATTTGATTTGTGTGTGATTAAGGCGTATTCTGAGCGCAAGGATCAGTGTGCTTAGTGCGAGCTTTTTAACGTTCTAGATAGCGTAAAAGTTAACTCAACTTTGTATGCAGTTCTAACAGAGCCCCTAGCGGCAAACATAGGCAAACGTTCCAACTCCATACAAATTTCAGTTAACTTTTACGCTATCGAGAACGTTAAAAAACTCACACTCTAAGCACACAGTTCCACTTCCCGGTGAAGGTTACGGAGTGAGCCGAGGGGTAAAGAGCAGCCCGGCTGGCGGAGTAAAGCGCTTCCGACCAGGCCAAAAAATCGTGACAAATCAAGATTTTTATTGTCTTGCCAATTCTATGCTAATCTCTAAATCTGTGTAGCTGTTGCTAACTCAGCGGGCAGATTGACTATCATCAGCTTATATTCGCGGAACGTAACAATTGATATTTATTTTTAGGCTTAATTTACTAATTACTAACTTATATCCGATATCTGTCCAGCCATTGGTTACTTGGTGCACTCTCTGCATGTTGCGCATATCTCTCTCACAGTTTGCCCGAGTTAAGCATATTCTGGGAATATAGCTGTGATGGATCACTACTATGGGCACTGGACTAACTCCAAGGGGTGATGACGCTGTTGACGGCCTTGCACCCCACTCCTCTCGGCTTACGAAAGGGAAGGAATACGCTGGAAGAAAGTAAGATCATTGGAATTTTAAAGAATCGAGTCTAATAAGTAATTTTACTGCAACAATATATATGTATATATACCCCAGTTGATTAATTTCGAATGTCCTAACCCTCAACCTTTATTTTAATTTTTAAGCATCAACTTTTAAGCCCAATACAATAAATTTCGCGGGTTGACGTTGCTTTTAAATTTACTTATATAGTGTGTTATTAACTAAAGGAGCATAAAGTTAACGGACATCTATCTATTTTATGTTTCAGTTGGAATATTTCAAACGGTTCTTGATGTAATATTGATAATAACCACACCAATCTAATATATACTGAAATATATTTTTTAATTAGAGACTATAGGTTGAGGGCCTAAGAAAAAAACCTGTAATGTGTATGTAGCGATTCGCCATTACGGAACAGATTTCGATGCAGATAATGGCGATATATACATACATATATAAATAATAATAATCTATGGCATACTGCTTAAATTATGACTCATTAAATAAATAAATTTACACGTAGAAGTGGACCAAAACAGGATTTTTTTGCCACTGGAAGCAACAAAATAAATCTGCATCGCTGCTTCATATTTTTTGAGGATCATTTACTGTTTTAATTAGTTTTTAAAATTTTAGAATTACTTACCACTAGCTGTTTGTATTGGACTAGGTAATGCAGTCACTACCGAGATTAAGCTGATGGCAATGAATAAAAATAGACCAGCCATCGTTCCTGAAAATATTATAATATCCTTTATTCATATTTTGTGATATTTTGCTTTTGTATAGGCTCTATACTATTTATCATCTATACTATTTATCAATCTAATTTTTTATTATTATTATTTGCTACCTCCGTATTTTGTTACGTACGTATTCTAATACTGTGAGGCAATATTCAATATCTTATCATTCGACGAAGATGCAATCCGATAAAGAATAATAAATTACTTTGATTTTTTGATTTTGATTTCGATAATATTGACGTCCTGTTTAATTATATCAAGACGAAAATTTTCCATATTTTATTATTTAACTGCGTAGTTCAGAATAGTGCTATCTCATCCTTTACTATGGCTGTCGGGAACTAAAGGATGGTCTAGAAAACAGGCAGAAGCGTTATGTTAATATTATACGGCACTCGGTGGTGGAAAGGCGTTTTGTAAGCCCACACAGGAGGGTATCACCAGTCTGCCTATTCACGCCATGAAGCATTAATGCGACCCAAATTAAGAAGCGGATCTGCTTGCAAAAACAACCGAGACTAAAAATGTGTGTGTGTATGAATATATGTAGGTACATTTATAACAGAGCAGATGGAAACATTCCAGTTTTGACATTTATGGACTTTGGTAATCTATACTTTTATATCTATACTAATATTATAAAGAGGAAAGATTTGTTTGTTTGTATTGAATAGACTCCGAAACTACTGAATCAATTTGAAAAATTCTTTCACTGTTTGGAAGCTACACTATTCCCGAGTGACATAGGCTATAATATTTTTTGAAAAAAATTATGGATCTTTACTCCAATAATGTAATCCTACGTGTAAAAAAATTACCTAAAATATTCTTTACATCGCGTGCCCTGCGAAAACTATTGATGATAGAATAAAATAATGTACTCCGACTTTGTAGAACACATTATTATTTACCAAAAGTGTCGCGACAGCATATGTCTAACTATTATAGTTATGCCGCAATAAGTGTTCTTTTATTTTAAAAAATAAAACAACGTCAAATATTTTTGAATTTTTTGTTAAAGACCCGAAGGAGCCGGAGCGGGTCACTAGTCACTTAATATTGGGAAATGGGGTTGCTATCCGTTTAAAGCAATAAAGAACCAGTCAATGAAATTTGAATTTCAGAAGGTATATTGTTTTTATTTATTCGGGCAGTCGTGGGATAAAGGTTAATTTCCCAAAACACAATTCAATAGTTCACTAAAAGGGAACAACAGTATAATTAAAAATTTTTGGTCTGAACAATACAGCTTTGCAATTAGCAATAAAATTGTATTTAAAGCATATTTCGAGCACTACTGTTGAGTTTGTGAATTATTATAACACAGTATACGTATTATTATTATTCAGTTCAGTTCTTTCTAGGTAAAGGGGCTCATGCACATGCAGTGTGCAAATATTCAGTATTTAGTGTAAAGAACACAAATTAAATCCTTTTATTATAAGTTTACCTAAAAAAATCGTTTTAGAAAAAAAAACAGTATTATCTAAATCCAATGATTGACCGGAAGAAATCACTTTCAGCGAAAAGTCCGCCCATTGTATTTCTTTAGTTTTAAGTTTAATTTTTATTATTTGTTTTTTCAATATAACATCACAATACCCAACAACATTTTTTTATTGTATTGCGCTATTTTCAAATTTATAATAAAAAAATATATTTGGGCAAAATTTATTTTTAAATAATATTAATGGAAATATAATGTCATATGACCTTTTCATTCAATAAAAATATCTTAATTAAGGCAACATCTAACAGTCTAATAATTATTATTTGGATTGGATAGAATTTTAATAGTAAAATATATATTTTAATTAAGATATTTTCTATTGAAAAATATTTTGTCGATGCTCAGTACATTATTATTGAGAAATATGTCTCTGTTCAGAGACTTTTTAGGGGGTGTCTCTAGCAAAGCGATCCATAAATTTTCATTGTGTTATATCGTGAAATTATTATAATGATGTTTGTAGTTAAAATAAATAATATTTTCCAAACTTCTAATCTAAAACTGAATGTAAATCCTAAGAAAGATTTGAATACTTACCAAAATGAAATTAAATAATTCACAACACAGATATAAATAAATAATATACTATGTAGGTACTCACGTTTATGACCAATCAATCAATGTAATGTATTATATAAATTCTTTCTTTATATACGTACGATATTTAAGACGCTCCACTGTTATATGTTGGTGTTTTTTAGATAATTATCCTAACCAAATGAAACTATGGATACGATAAATCGATGTCGCCGATAATGGTAGTGTTATTATCTTGAGTAGGGCTGGTTAATACCCATTTTATTTTGATTAATCGATAGCGTTAGAAGTTAATGAACTGTTCGAAAAATTAATAATCAAACTTTATTCGATTTAAATTTATGTTCTATGTGTTTAAAGAAAAAAAATTTATAATATGTTAATCGTTTTCCATAAAGTCGTATTTATCATTTAAATCCGCAATAGTTTTAATAGGTAATTGAAAACCCGCTTTTTCCGTTAGCGAACTCTTGAGAGCTGCTTATCATTATAAGACTTTTATTAATTACTAGCTGACCCGGCAGACTTCATAGTACCTCAATCGATAGATAAAAAACATAAACTGTTGTATAAAATAAACTTAAAACAAACAAAAGGAATCCGTCCGACGAGGAATACATCAAAGGAAAAACAAAAGTGTTATTTTTATTTGATTCCGAGCATTTTCACCTTTTCTGGGCTTCCACAAATAATTCAAAACCAAAATTAGCCAAATCGGTTCAGCCGTTCTCGAATTTTAGCGAGACTAACGAACAGCAATTAGTTATATAACTAGTCAGGTCATAAGTATTGTCACACAGTAAAAACTTTTCTTTTAGAATGCTGGCCACAAAAAAGTTTATTGAATTCGAATTTCGAATTGTTCATGAAAATAAAAATGTATACTTTTAGAATTTTACTCATTTTTAAATATGGAGTGGACGCTTAAAGAAGACCGTGTTGCAGTTATTGCGTTGCATCGTTGCGGTTACGCGCCAATTCAAATTTTTAACATACTGAAAATTTTGAATATAACCAAAAGATTCGTTTATCGTACCATCAAACGATACAATGAAGACTCTAGTGTAGATGACAGGTCAAGAAGTGGTCGCCCTCGGTCTGTTAGGACTCCAGCAGTGATAAAAGCTGTGAAGGCGCGAATTCAAAGAAATCCCAAACGTAAGCAGAAACTGTTGGCCCTTCAGATGGGGTTAAGCAGAACCACGGTGAAAAGGGTGTTAAATGAAGACTTAGGGCTTCGGGCATATCGAAGAAAAACAGGACATCGTTTGAATGCTCGTCTAATGGACCTGAGACTGAAGAGATGCCGCGCTTTGTTGAAGCGGTACGCGGGAAAAAAATATCGGGAAATTCTTTTTTCGGATGAAAAAATTTTTACCGTAGAAGAGAGCTACAACAAACAAAATGATAAGGTGTACGCACACAGTAGTGAAGAAGCGAGCAACCGTATTCCGCGTGTCCAACGAGGTCATTTTCCATCCTCGCTCATGGTATGGTTGGGAGTTTCTTATTGGGGCTTAACAGAGGTACATTTTTGTGAGAAAGGTGTAAAAACGAATGCAGTTGTGTATCAAAATACAGTCCTGACGAACCTTGTGGAACCTGTTTCTCATACCATGTTCAATAACAGGCACTGGGTATTCCAACAAGATTCGGCGCCAGCTCATAGAGCGAAGAGCACACAAGACTGGCTGGCGGCGCGTGAAATCGACTTCATCCGGCACGAAGACTGGCCCTCCTCCAGTCCAGATTTGAATCCGTTAGATTACAAGATATGGCAACACTTGGAGGAAAAGGCGTGCTCAAAGCCTCATCCCAATTTGGAGTCACTCAAGACATCCTTGATTAAGGCAGCCGCCGATATTGACATGGACCTCGTTCTTGCTGCCATAGACGACTGGCCGCGCAGATTGAAGGCCTGTATTCAAAATCACGGAGGTCATTTTGAATAAACTTTAGTGTCATAAGAATCTATGTTTTGTTAAGTTCATTTTGGTATATGAATGGATACATAATGAATAAACTTGTTTCAATTATTTTACATTAAACATGTGACAGAATTTATGACCTGACTAGGTATATGTATATAGATAGATTACCGTTACGTTAACTAATTATTGAGTTTAATTTAATTATTGAGCCTTTTATAAAAGAGTTTCTAATTTCTTCACAAACTTTGTGAATGCCATTACTTTTAATTTTAGAACTGGCGATTGTTTATCAATGGCAAGATGGTCGTTCAAGAAAAACCACATTCTATTTTAGCAATCCTTATTAGTTTTTTGTTTGTTTGTAATCAATGTGTTCGTACATTTTTGTGTTATGCTTGCTACAGTTACTGTTGTCAATTTAGGGAAGATTTTTGTCTTAGCACGCTAAAAAACGTTGATGGCACTCGCCTTTTTTTATAAGCGGTGGTCGAGTATTAAAAAAAATGGTTTATTTCATTTGTTAGCGATAGTAACGGCGAAGTGAGACTCTTATTATTGCTTAATTTATTTGCTTTATGCAAAATTAAATAAATAAATACGTTTTGAAGTAAAAAGGTGTTTTAATCTAGCTGAAATGACAAAAGTGTATGATCAAAAAATCCAATCTCTCTTGACCATCTCTCAGCTATCTGGCTATTTTACGAGTACTTGAATTAAATTTTGTCGACTCAGCGATACCGTAATTTATTTGATATTGTTTTTTTGTACTTTTGTCACGTAGAAGAAGACCGGTTAACGCTACTTGTAAATGCATACGTCAAAGAAATTTACAGACAAATTTGTTTATCAAATAAACTAAAACGTTGGACGAAACTTAATTATAACCAAAATACATCTTTAAAAATTGACGTTTATAATATTGGTAAGCACGCTGTGACTGAATAGTGTCTGATATGCCTACACGAAAAACCAAAAGTGGATTTTTTTTGGGATCTAGGTATTAGGGGGTTTGGGCTGGAGGGGTATTATTGACAAATTTCCGAGCGCTTAATAGGTCAAGGGCAGCTGATTTATATATATATTTTTAACAGACAGCGCACCAGCTCAAATAATAGTCTGAAAATGAATGCGTGTCGCGACATAGTATAAATATTAAATCGGACTAGAAAAAGAGATATGTGTGTTAATCTTTATGTGTTTGTGTTAACTAATGATTTATTAAAATAAAAAAGGGGAAAAAGGAGTTAGTTATTACGAGTATATAATAATTAAGCGAATCATAAAATGTGAATAAGCTAAGCTGTGTGTGTATAATTTTCTGGAATATTAATGGAAAAAATATATCACTATTTTGTTATTCGTATTCTTGAAATTGAACGTTACACTTCTTCCGATCTAGCCCCTTAGTGTGTAATCAAAACGCACGATAAGGAACTCGGTTCACACAAAAAATCTAAATCTCAAAACGATCTTTTGATCGTTACTTTAACAAGTTTTTATGGTTACTACTCACCGTTGTTTATTACTGTGAAATACACGTTGCATGAATGAGAATTTTATTCACGTGTTTCAGATAGATATTAATTTTTTTGCTGTGTGTTCCATGATTCTAACATAATAGTCGAGAAGTTACGTTCAAATCGCCTTCATTAAGCATTTAAATGTATTTGTCCACATTTACACGTATAGAATTCAATGTTATTTTATGTAACTAGTATTTCTAATCGGTCAGGTTCTTTCCCGCTTAGAATAAGGTGGAAATGTTGTTAGAAAAATGTTTGCACAGTGAGTTCGATATGGTTTTTTGCTCATTATATTTAACTAGATGATGACAGAGCTTTGATGGGTTTTTTTTTTTTTTGATAACGCCATCTTATTTTGTCTTTAAAGCAGTTAGTTGCTCTCAATTAAGAAAAATAGTATTATTATTCGCCAATAGATGTCGGGAAGAGTTACAAAGTTGATTATCGATTAAGTTGATTACTGAAAACACGAATAAAAAAAAAATTCTGAAAATAAATCGAAGCTAGATCGATTTATTGCCCCCGAAATCCCCTGTAGGTATACAAAATTTTATGAAAATCGTTGGAGCCGTTTCCCAGATTCAGATTATATACAAAAATTGCTCGTATAGGTATAAGATTTGCATTAACATAAAAATCTTTTCAATGTTTTTACTGTTTCGTGTTTAACACATTCTTTCGAAAATTTTTAAACTAATTCGATTGAAACCCTATCTGGTGTTAAGTGGTTGCCGGAGCCATGAGTGACTGAGTTCTAAGGTCTCAAATTTTACAGTACAACGGCTGCTTCACCCTTCAAACCGAAACACATTAATGCTTCACGACACAAATAGGTAGTAGGGTGGTGGCGGATACTAACTTATACTTTTTATTATTATAGGCAAAGAGAGACAAGCAGCACACTAAATACTCCAAGAACGGAAAAGGCAAGGTCCAGCGTTTTGGAACAACCAATCGAACAGAAGGTTCTGTATATTAGACTTTATATTCATCAGATATCACAGCCATAGACCTATATAGTAGGGACACGACATATTGTTCTATACGTACAATTGCTTATATAAATAGCACCCATTTTGAAGGCACACACATAAACGTATATCTATCTCGTTCTTACTCAGCACTTTAACTCGCAGGAAAACAATATAACAGTATTTCAGTGCGTACATAAAATGAAACATGAATATACGTAAATGTCTAATGAGGTCGAAAATCCGCCATGTTGAGCGCACCAAATGTCATTGTCACGTCAGTTCGGCCGTCTGTTTTGGGTTGTACATTATTTATAGACTTTGATATCGATTTAATATGATTGCTATAAAATTTCATATTTTATCATGCTTAAAACATACAAAAATAATAATTAAAACGTATTTTATAGGATCTCTTGAAAGTCGATGCCCAAAACTATTATCTATATATATTTAAATTCATTATGGAGCCCTCATCCGAAAAATCGGACACCATTTTTCGGTCGGAATCTATTGATCATGACACTAATCATAAATACCTCTTTAAAATATGTCATCAAAACATATTTAGACATTCTGTTTAGATATTTCGGGAAAAAGGCTACCGACGAAATCTCTTCGGAACTATTTAAATAAAATAGTTATATTCCGCAGTGAGTAAAACTCTATTGTAAATTCGTTATATATTTAATAATTAAGTGATTTTAGAGAGAGAGTCACAAAGAATGACGTTTGTAATTAATGAATAAATGTTCTGTAGGTGTTTTTTTTTTCGCGCGGTCCCTTGATAAGTTTAAAATTTGAATCACTCTCAAGTGAAAGTGATTCAAATGGTGCGGCGCACCTTCCTTGAGGTGCGCTGCGGTAGTGTGTTACGGAAGAGTCAGCAAAACAATTAAAATAGATTGTAATAGTCTAAGAAAAACACGTACTCAAAATACAATAACATTCAGCATGCTAGAAATGGGCAGATGGCACTGTACTACGCCATATCTTTATGTTTTTCGGCAAACGACAACTTTATAAAATCAGTGTAGCAAATTTTAAAAATCGTCATATTGTTTACTTGGCAAATTTGAAGCACGAACTCGTCTTAGATTTCTCATAATATCTAAATCACATCATCTTTGCACATAACAATATACTTACTTCCTATTAAAGTATAAATTCTACAAATACATTCATACTCAACAATATTTAAAATAAAATGAGCCAAGAACGTTTATCGATAAAACCTACTAACATTAAAATCTTCTGGGCACCACTAAAACCGCCATGTTTTGTGGCCAGATTGAAGTCGTCGTGGCCTAACGGATAAGACGTCCGGTGCATTCGTATCTAGCGATGCACCGGTGTTCGAATCCCGCAGGCGGGTACCAATTTTTCTAATGAAATACGTACTCAACAGATGTTCACGATTGATTTCCACGGTGAAGGAATAACATCGTGTAATAAAAATGAAACCCGCAAAATTATAATTTGCGTAATTACTGGTGGTAGGANCTGCGATAGACGACTGGCCGCGCAGATTGAAGGCCTGTATTCAAAATCACGGAGGTCATTTTGAATAAACCTTAGTGTCATAAGAATCTATGTTTTGTTAAGTTCATTTTGGTATATGAATGGTTACATAATGAATAAACTTGTTTCAATTATTTTACATTAAACATGTGACAGAATTTATGACCTGACTAGGTATATATACAAAAATTGCTCGTCTAGGTAGGTATAAGATTTGCATTAACATAAAAATCTTTTCAATGCTTTTAACGTTTCGTGTTTAATACATTTTTTCGAAAATATTGGACTAATTCGATTGAAGCCCTATCTGGTGTTAAGTGGTTGCCGGAGCCATGATTGACTGAGTTCTAAGGTCTCAAATTTTACAGTACAACGGCTGCCCCACCATTCAAACTGAAACGCATTAATGCTTCACGACACAAATAGGTAGGGTGGTGGCGGATACTAATTCATATTTTATATAGGCAAAGAGCGACAAGCAGCACACTAAATACTCCAAGAACGGAAAAGGCAAGGTCCAGCGTTTTGGAACAGCCAATCGAACAGAAGGTCCTGTATATAAGACTTTATATACATCAGATATCACAGCTTACTGTTTTTGGTCACCTTCATTTCTTGACATTTGTCATTTTTAGGCTATATCTTTGTTGGTGTTCCATAATACACAAATCCATACTAATAATATAAATGCGAAAGTTAGTTTGTTTATTACGCTTTCACCTGTTAACTACTCAGCCGATACAATAAATTATTTATACACGATGTCAGGGGTACTGTATACCACAAATACTTTTCATGTCGGACAAAAATTAAGATCACTAGAGATTATTTTTGAAAATGTTGAAGAATTATAAATGTCGGCTTCCAGTCGGTTATTTCTATCAGTTTTCACGCTGAGATGTATTCGCTTGGTTAACTCCTCCAATCTCTGGGCGGGGGCTCACCCACACCAGATCTTTTTTATTATCTTATACCTTTAAACGAGCAATTCTTGTATATTAATATATACTTATATAATCTCAATCTTGGAAACGGCTCCAAAGATTTTCATAAAACTTAGTATACAGGGGATTTCGGGGGCGATAAATCGATCTAGCTACGATTTATTTTCAGAAAATGTTGTTTTATTTCTGTTTTCTAATAATCAACTTTATCGATAATCAACTTGATGACTCTTCCCGACATCTATTGGCGAATAATAATACTATTTTTCTTAATTGAGGGCAACTAACCGTTTTAAAGACACAACAAGATGGCGTTATCAAAAAAAAAAACCGAGCTAAGCTCGGTCATCGTCTAGTTGCATTATAGGAAGACGAGCATACGATCCACCTGATGGTGAGTAGTTATCGTCGTTCATGGACGCTAGTAATGCCAGGGACACAATCAAGTCGCTGCCTACCGCTGACTACTCTCTGCGAGCTTGCTTTGAAAACCACTTAAACCCATTGTGGATGAACGTAGTGGTTTCAGTTAGTATGGATGAACTCTAATCTGGTGGCGGGAAGTTTAATGGTAAAAAAGAGAACAGATCACCCAGGATAATGCATCAGACCACTCCCCGTGGAACATACGGTATAAAACACAGAAATAACCGAAATCCCATCGTAAACGCAGAGGTACGAAAAGATTGTGAATGAAATTATTTCCTTACATTATAAGTTACATTATTTTTCGTTATCTTGTTGTTTTATCGTATAATTGTAAGGAACGTTGTGTACAAATTCAGCACTTTGTCTTGTTTTGTCGTGCGCAAATAACTTATTTTGAGAGCAAGATTTTGTTTCTTTTTACTTGTGTTTTTTATGTATCTTTTTAGCTTGTGATGTGTATTGTGAGCCTAATAAATAAATAAAAATAAAAAATAAAATAAAAGATCCATCTAAGAGGTTCCAGTAACTTTCATTTGACTCCATCCAAAGCCGTTCGTGTCGTCAATCACGTTCTCACGGAGCTTTTGTGACCTCTGGGACTTCTGTTCTCTCTGTGTTTTGTATAGTATGTTCCGTGGGAAATGCTCTGAAGTATTATTCCAGATTAACCTTTTACTAATTCTTTACCGTAGTACAGCCCATGAATTCTGTCTAGGTAATCCTATGTAGTCCTAGACAGAATTCATGGATACTATTTGAAACTACTCCGTTCATCCACGGTACTTTCTGTGCCTACTGCCTGAGACTGCTTTCTTCAAACGAAATATGAAAGGATTTCTCAGCAGTAGGCAATAGTTTGGCTATTCCTCTGGCATTAATGAATGAACAAAAATAAAAATGGTATTAAAGGATTAAACCCTTTCAAATACTTTTATAAGGAATTCCTACTTAAGCAGCAAAGTGCGGAGGCAGGGATTCTGTAGATTATGCCACATAATTTTAAATTTAGGTATTATTAGATTTAAGTTTATAGATTAAGATTACAGGCAGCGGCAGAATAACAGCGATAGTTTCAGCTATTACAAAGCTGAGCCGCGGCCTTTTTGGCCGGCCACTGTGTTAGTATAATATATTGTAATATTGTTTAGAATTAGAATTTATATGTCATATTAATTGAAAAGTTATTTGTATTGTGGTGTAAATAAATGCAATATTATTATTATTATTATCATTAACTTTAAAAGAGCAGCTGGAGCTATTCTAACATCGGTTTTCCTCATACCGTCAAGGTGAAAACTCAAGTCTCACTCAACTCAACTCATTCTAACATCAGTTTTCCTCATACCGTCAAGGTGAAAACTCAAGCCTCACTTAAATCAAATAAAATTATTTCGGTATCAAAAGAAAGGTAAATGTTAAAAAAAAACTTCAGAGGTGTCAAGGGGCACCCGGATGGAACGAAGTTCCTTTCGATTAATTAGTGAAGGAATTGTAATTTTTTTTTTTAAGTTATAATAATAAATTACGGCATTATGAAGAAGAAAAAAATAATACTATGAACTAAATTACTATTGTTGAAACGCTATCTCGAGAAACTGTACTCATTACGCGGACCAATCGGATACGAGCAATGTCACGCGATAAGCGCCTACACGTTGATTGGTCAGAATGACGGATCTAAAAAGTGTCGTGACAACTTTTCGTAAGAATTTTTTCCGTCTAGCCCCCTTTCACAACGCGCGATAGGGAACTTCGTTCCAATATTTATAAAAATTGGACGGAAGAAAATACCTTAACCATCCGTGACCACGAAAATTGTAAAGTATTCGAAATGTCGAATGTGGTAAAGTGAAAATAACAAACTCTTAAGCCGTAAAACTAGTTTTAATTATGTTTATGATTAAATGAAGACGAAGATAATACAATATTGCTGTGTCAATATGTATTGTGTTAACGTCTGGTAAAACGTAATATAAGCTTTTCGAAATAAATAGATGAAGTGTATAACATTCCCTAATTATGTAAAAAAAAAATATTTTAAATATTTTCTAAATTTCGAATTATTCTAACATACGGTGCGAAGGAATTTTGGGTATCCACTGCGTTCACTTGGCAATTGAGAAAAATAAACAAACTTCAAACTTAACAAACAACAAATTCCTTTATTCAGTTCATAAATATTATTAATATGTACTTATTTTAAATTTTAATCATCCCAATTCAGTGAAAAGTGATCCCATTTTGAGATTTCATCAAACAGTCTCTGTCCAGGGCATTCAGTGGGAGTGACTTGTCTGTGTCCGATGAGTTTGTAATCGGATCGGATGTGACCGAGCCTCACACCAGCCTCGATCAGGTCCTTGACAGATTGTAGCTGCGCCTGGGGCGGTTGATTAGCTGGAATGAGATTGGACATGTTAAATTTAACACCGTAATCGGTACCTATCTCATGTTAAATGTGTAATAATTTACTAGATATTTTTGGAAGTTAAAGAAATATTTATAGGAACGGATGCTAATCGTCAATACCAAGCGCCCTATGAAATTTTATTCTCGTTGAATCTGTTCAGATCTGATTAAGTACTACTAGAAATCAATCGCGTGTAACCTCTAGCTCTAGACTCTAGGACGTAACTCAGATCTTGGACAAAAGGGAATTTGGTTGGTCAACATTAATAAACTCGATTTTTTGGTTTTCTAAAAGCAATGTTCAATCATGTCTATAGTTATAAAAGAATATTTACAAATAAAATCTCCAATCAACAAGATTCCGATGCTTCGGGTGTTAACGCCGAACGCGTGAGCACCAATTGAACTCCAGCCACGGCCCTCGAACACAGTTCCTTCACCGCCGACTGCGAAACTGTAATTTTTGATAAATATATTAAACTCTCTCTCTCTCTGACTCTCTCTTGTCGTAAAGCTACCGGCAGAAAGTAGCGGAGCAACCCTTCAAAATTTTAAAACACCTTCGAGTAGAAGCATAAAATTAGTTTCAATTCGGGTCCTACTTGTCGCTGTTTGAAAGGGGTGATTCGTGGCAGGCAATTGCCACTTCTACACTTGTAGACTTTTAGAAGTTAACAATTGTCGACTTGTAGAAGGGCACCAACACCAACGGCGACGGTTCAGTGCGGAGAGAGTAGTGTGATTAGTGCGAGTTTTTTAACTTCTCGATAGCGTAAAAGTTAACTCAAATTTGTATGGAGTTGGAATAGATTTCCTTTGTTTGCCGCTAGGGGCGCTGTTCCAGCTCCATACAAATTTGAGTTAACTTTTACGAAAAAACTTGCACTAAGCACATAGATCTGTCTTTCTACGTTTGCCCCATCCATTTTTCAAGCTTTGCCAATTTGGTGCTAACGTCCAAAGCTGTTGCTAACTCAATCGTAGAATGAATATCCTTAGTTCATATCCACGGGACATTATGATTTATATTTAATTAACATTTATACTACAAACCTATATCCAATATCTTCCCAGCCATTAGTCACTTGGTGCACTCTTTGCATATTACGCAAATCTCTCTCACAGTCTGCTCGAACTAAGCATATTTTGGGAATGTAGCTGTGGTGAATCACTACTATGGGCACTGGACTGACTTTGAGTGGTGATGTCATTGTTGGTGGCCTTGCACCCCATTCCTCTCGGCTTACGAAGGGGAAGGAATAGTCTGGAAAAAGTAAAAAAAATCGAATTTTAAATAATCGTGTCTAATTTGAAATCGAATCGGATTTGAAATCTAAATATAATCAAATATTACTTGGGTTAAGTACCGTTTTTGCTATAGTTAAGTAGACGAGGTCACTAATTCAGTAATAGCTGCCAGACTTAATTCATATTTCATCGTCTCAATTGTTTAGCACCACAATTATCGACCTAACCTAGAAACCATGGCTGTTTCTAGTCAGGAACGCAAAGGATGATGCAACTAATGGGTTCAATTACAGCCTAATCATTCTATATATTTGAAATCAAATAAAAAAATAAGCAGGGCAGTGATTTTACCCAGTGTGTCTGTGACCATGGTCAGTACAATAAGCTCAAATTGTCAACTAAAACTTTGCCACCCACCTTGAGATATAAGTTCTAAGATCTCAAGTATATTTACAACGGCTGCCCCACCCTTCAAACCGAAATGCATTACTGCTTCACGGCAGAAATAGGCAGGGTGGTGGTACCTACCCGCGCGGACTCACAAGAGGTCCTACCACTAGTTAATAATAATTTCAATGTTAAATAGTCATTTAATTTTTTTCCTATATTTCGAATACTTAACAATTGTCGTGGTCACTGACGACTAAGGTTTTATTCGTCGAATGTCAAATGTAATGGCAATAACAAAAAACGCGGTATTAAACCGTGAAAGCAGTTTTAACTTTATTTATATCCAGGTTTTTTGTTAATAAAACTATTATATTTATTATTATATTTACTAACAATCACGCCACGTTAACTGGTCCCGTGCTAAGTTCGTAAAGAACTTGTGTTACAGGTACCAGATAACGGAAATAAATGTAAGATTTTTTTATTATACACATACATATATTTAATATACATCCATAACCCTGGAAAAGACATTTATATTTATCATACAAATATCTTCCCTTGGCGGGATTCGAACCCGCGACCCCCTTGTGTAGTGACCATGTCACTTACCACTACACCAGACGGCCGTTACCTATAAGCATACTCTTTTAATTGTGTTAAGAGGTTCTCTAAAACTTAAGAGGTCACTTTTGTAAAGTGCGAGTGTAATCATTGATAAGAACTAGCTGTGTAAGGTTTGCAATTACAGTAATTTTAAAACCAGTTAGAAATATTTAAATAATTACCATATTTATAAGTCGTCGTGGCCTAAAGGATAAGACGTCCGGTGCATTCGTATCGAGCGATGCACCGGTGTTCGAATCTCGCTGGCGGGTACCAATTTTTCTAATGAAATACGTACTCAACAAATGTTCACGATTGACTTCCACGGTGAAGGAATAACATCGTGCAATAAAAATCAAACCCGCAAAATTATAATGTGAGTCCGCACGGGTAGGTACCACCGCCCCGCCTATTTCTGCCGTGAAGCAGTAATGCGTTTCGGTTTGAAGGGTGGGGCAGCCGTTGTGACTATACTGAGACCTTAGAACTATATCTCGGGGTGTGTGTCGCATTTACGTTGTAGATGTCTATGGGCTCCAGTAACCACTTAACACCAGGTGGGCTGTGAGCTCGTCCACACATCTAAGCAATAAAAAAAAAAAACTATTTTAATTGTACAGAAAAATTAATACATAAAATGACATGAAACTATATCTTAAAGTTAATCTCGATGTTTCATAATTGTTCGAACATTCAAATTGGAATGCTTTTATATTTTTTATTAGATTTTTTTAAGCTACACACTGTTACAAACAAGTAGATAACAGTTGAGAGCCTTAAAAAAATAAAAAAATGAAAACTGCAGACAAACCGGTAGGTATACAGCAGTTTTAGAACAAAAAAAAACGATCTAATACATCTGATCTAGTCGAGATTAAAGTCAACACAACATTTTATATTATATATTATGTACACTTTAATAAGTAGTAATAATATACTCCGTATCTGGCAGGTATATTCATGTCCGGATCACTTGGCACACGCGCTCAACTAACACATAATGACTTGTTAGCATTACGTCACAGATGTCGGATATCTATGGCGTACGGGGTCACTGCCAAAATTATGACTCATTAATTAAATAAATTCACACGTAGAAACGGACCAAAACGGGATTTTTTTTCCATTTGAAGTAACGATATATCTTTCTTACTGCTTCATGGTATTTAGGGGTTTTTTTTATTTATTTTGAATACACAGAAAAAAGTCTGTAATATTTTAGAAAAACTTACCACTAACTAATTTTATCGGACTAGGCAATGCAGTCACTATCGAGATTAAGCTCATGGTAATAAATAAATGTCGACCAGCCATCGTACCTGTAAATAATGAGAATAAAATAATGAAACATTGGAACTAAAATTTGCTGACATATTATAAGATTGCTTAGAATAGAGTTTGAAAATTCGTGGTTAATAGCTCGTGGCTTGGACTTGCGTCTTAAAATGGAAATGGTCTGGAATTACGTCTCCGAAAACATTCACATTGATGATGATTTTATGCAATATTTTCTTATTGATCTTCGTAAAGATTCTTCAACCTATAATCGAAGTTTCGGTCTTTGACGCATATTTATTATTCGTTATAAAATATGCTGTGTACTACTTAAATTGATTTTTATTCTTTTTTATTCGTAGATTGGTGATCAAGTTCACGGCTCACTTGACGTACAGCGGTTTCCGGAGCACGTAGACTTATATACATATTTCGTTAAGTATGTATTATTATATCGTGAGGTAATACTAGTAATGTAATATTCAGTATCTTATCAAACGACATGCAGTACGATAAGGGAATAATAAATTACTTTGATTTTAATTTGACTTTGATATTGTATTTTGACTTCCGGTTTAATTACATCAAATTACATCGACGTGACGTTATTACTTTAAACTACTTTGTTCATAGGTGTTTATTTGCTTATGTTGTTACGGTTCAGAATAGCAACAACTCATCTTTTTCCGTGAGTACCGAAAAGGATGTGACTAAAGGATTCACTAGAAAAAGGACCGAAGCGTTGTTGGGTACATACCCAGGATATTGCGATCGCCAATCGAAGTTAATTGGAGGTAAGGTGGGATTTGAGTACACAGAAGTGGGTAGAACTATTCCGCCTATTGTTACGAAGCATCCATGCATTCAGAATCAATAAATAGAATATGCAAAAATCAAATTTAGACTGTCGATGTCCAAGATGGGGGGGGGGGGGGGGGGTTGGAATTCACGTTGTGATATCTCTGGCTCTTTTTCATTGCTTAGATGGGTAGACGAGTAGACGAGCTCACGATCCACTGGTGTTCGGTGGTTACCGGATCCAATAGGCATCAACAACGATCGTGAATGCCGCTACTCACTTTGAGACACGAGTTCTAAGTAACAGTTTTATAGTACAAAGGCTGCCGCAACCTTGAAACCGAAACGCATTAGTGCTTCATGACAGAAATAGGCAGGATGGTGATACCAACCCGTTTGGCCTCGCAAGACGCCCTACCATCTGTTATTCCGCAAATTACAATTTTTGCGGGTTTGATTTTTATTATGCGATATTATTTCTCCACTGTGGAACTCATTTGTGAACATTTGTTAAGTATTTTATTACAAAAATTGGTACCTGCCAGTCGGATTCGAACTCTGACACAGTCACATCGCTTGATACGAGTGCTCTGTGCCTCTTAACCTTTAGACCACGACGTCTCAAAACGGCTCTGGTAACCACTTATTACAATTACAAAGAACCTTGTTTGCCTATTTTAGGCAAAAAAAAAACCATTCAACTTCCATTTCAAATTTAAAATGGAACGTTTTTCTCATTAATTCAGGTAGTGCAGGCAAAAAGTTAGATTTGCAAAACACAATTTAATATTCACTAAAAGCGAATAAACAGTAAGAATAAAAGCCTTTGGTCTGAATATGTTGAACTTCGTAATTGGCATTACGTAGTGTTAATATTTATATAAAAATTTCATTTACTTCTCCTATTGTTTACTCTTATAAGTGTGAAAGCTTTTACTATTTTTGAATATTGATTATTTTGAATATATTGAAATTATTATTATTTTTTTTTATTGCTTAAATGGATGGACGAGCTCACAGCCCACCTGATGTTAAGTGGTTACTGGAGCCCATAGACATCTACAACGTAAATGCGCCGCCCACCTCGAGATATGAGTTCTAAGGTATTAGTATAGTTACAACGGCTACCCCACCCTTCGAACCGAAACGCATTACTGCTTCACGGCGGAAATAGGCGGGGTGGTGGTACCTACGGACGGACTCCCAAGAGGTCCTACCGCCAGTGATTACGCAATTTATAATTTTGCGGGTTTGATTTTTATTACACGATGTTATTCCTTCACCGTGGAAGTCAATCGTGAACATTTGTTGAATACGTATTTCATTAGAAAAATTGGTACCCGCCTGCGGGATTCGAACACCGGTGCATCGCTTCATACGAATGCACCGGACGTCTTATCCTTTAGGCCACGACGACTTCAAAATGTAAATCGATACTTTATTGTTGGTATTTTTTTTTAAATAGAATTAATATAATACTTACTTTATGAAACTTAATTATTCACAGCACAGATATATTATAATATACTATGTTTTCACTTCTGTGATCGATCAATCAATGTGACTTAGTACATAAATTCTTTCGTTATGTTCGCACAATGTATAACAAGCTCTATTTATATATGTTGTGTATTTTTTAGGTATTTAATCTGACCAATGACATAAGCCTAATTCGACGTCACCGATAAGGGTAGTGTTTATTAATGTATTGAATAGGGCTGTCAGGTTAATACCCTTTTTAATTTGATTGATTGATAACATTAAAACTTAATGAGATGGTCGCATGATTCATTCTTGAGATTGCTTCAAATTACCTTATTCTTTATATAAGTGAGTCATTCAGACAAACTATGTTAAACATTTACGATACAAATGTGCTTTTCAAGGAAGTTCGTAGTAATTTTAATAGGTATTTCAAGATAGGTACTCTACTGGTGGTAAGACATCTTGTGGGTTCGCACGGGTAGGTACCACCACCCTGCTTATTTCTGCCGTGAAGCAGTAATGAGTTTCGATTTTAAGGGTGGGACAGCCATTGTAACTATACTGAGACAGCTTGCAAGTGCGAGAGGCATAAATGCGCGAACTAGAATGAATGAGAAAACTTAGATTAATAAGATCCCCTTGAGCCTATGAACGGGGAAAGGCAGGATTATAAAATAAAATAAAACTGAGACTTTAGAACTCATATCTCAAGGTGGGCTGTGAGTTCGTCTACCCATCTAAGCAATAATAATAAACAAATAAAAGTTTCAAAACTACCATTCTTGGGGATACATTCATTCCTTTTGTAGGAAAGCAGAGAGGGCGCGTCGGTCATTAAGGCATGCCCCCACAATTTGGATTCCGCGCGCGAAATTTCGCGTACTTGTGAAATTAACTTAATTTAATGAGTTCGTGATATTTCACGAAAGAGTTTCTACTATCTTCAAAATGTTTTTGAATGGCATTCCTTTACCTTTAAAATGGCCGTTTGTTTTCAAATATCAAGGATAACTAGATTCTATTTTAATAACTTTAGATCTAGTATAGAAGCGAATATTTGTCAGTTTTTTTTTTGGTTCGTAATCGATGCGTTTGTATGTAGATTGTTTTTGTACTTACTACAGTTGCTGTTGCCGCTTTGAGAAGGTTTTTGTCATATCACGATTAAAGTTGAATGGACGGAGCGCGAATAATATCAACAAATTGGTTTGTTTCATTTATTAGCGACAATAATTTTTTTATTGCATAGATGGGTGGACGAGCTCACAGCCCACCTGGTGTTAAGTGATTATTGGAGCCCATAGACGTCTACAACGTAAATGCGCCACCCACCTTGAGATATAAGTTCTAAGGTCTCAGTATAGTTAAAACAGCTGCCCTACCCTTCAAACCGAAACACATTACTGCTTCACGGCAGAAATAAGCATGGTGGTGGTACCTACCCTTGCGGACTCACAAGAGGTCCTACCACCAGATGTCAAAGTGAGGTTGTTATTGCTTAATTCGTTTGCTTTGTACAAAATGAAATAAGCACTTTTTGAAATAGGAATATGTTGTAATCTAGCTGAAGTGACAATAGTATGTGTTGAGTATCCAATCCAAAAAAATCTAAAAATCCAATCTCGCTTGCAGGTGGTTAAATATATAGTTTCGAATACGGTACAGAGTTAGATAAATACCCAAGTTCAAGGTTAATGCAGCTGAGCGTATATTTATGGCTTATAGGATCCACTACCATCAGGCGAGAGCCTTATCTAATTTTAGCGTTATAAGTTAATAAGGAAAAAAGGCAAAATAGTCATCACGATAACAGTGATGGATTGCCGTTTACTAATGTGAAAGAAATAATGTGATTGATAACGATTGTCCCACACTAATTAAAGTAATTGAGATATTTTGCGAGCACTTGAATTAAATCTCTAGGAATCAGTAGTACCGCGATTTATTTTTTACTAGTTTCGGTTTCAGTTTGATTAGTAATCTGAAGCTTATTTCGTGCCGCGCTGACTCTGCAACGGTAAGTTAGTTCAATCAGAAATAATATGAAAATAAGTTTTGGCAATTTTAATACGTACTAGAGGTCCCGCAGTAGTCGAAATTAGACTATACTTAATTGGAATTGTACCTAAGTTTGTACACTATTATGATTGTATTTTATACTTCTATAATCACAAATTTCGCCAAGACTACAATATAAAAAATATTAACAAAGACAAACCATATTCTATTCTCAATTTGACAACAGACGTCAAGAACAAAAGTTTGACAATAAATAGTATGCATGCGTGTGTGCGTCAAATACATGGTATGTAGTGTGTGTAATGTTTTCTTTATTGATTTAATGTATCTTTTATGCATTATTTTAAGAAAATATTAGCATTGTGCACTTCTTCTCTATATTCTCTATAAGTATAGAAAATTTCATACTCCCCCGTTCGCGCAATTTTCTTAAAAAGGGATACAAAGTTTTTGCTTCACGTATTAATATATAGATAAACTGAAATAGTCTAAACAGATTGACAAGTTTGTATGGTTACTCTACTGATAGGTATATGTACATGTTTGATGGATGATAATTTTATTCTGTATTTTCCTGATAGAAGTTAAGTTTTATGCTGAGCATTATCATTCTAACGTAATAGTCAGGAACTGTGTTTTTTGAAATCGCCTTCATTAAAGTAATTTAACTGTATTTTTCCACATTTACACAATCAGGTCCGTGTTATTCTAGTATTTCTAATCGGCCAGGTTCTTTCCCGCTTAGAATAATATAGATATTTTGTTAGAAAATCTTTTGTAGATGCATTCGCGAACCAGCTGCTCTTGAGCTGTTAGCTTTCTTCCAGAGGTTCCTCCTTCGGGCAGTTGCTATGCTAGAAAATCTCATCTCTCCTGTCCCCATGTGAACCCATGCTCGCCCACCTGTCCTGGTGAAACTGGAAAGGTCTCCGAACTACTAAAAATCCCTCGCTGCCTAAAAAAAGCCTTGTCCTGTAAGTTCGCTATGGTTTTTTTTTGCTGAGACTGATTAAGATCGAAATCCTCATTCTAATAATAATATTTTTTTTAACAATTTGGACAATGAATAAAATTAGTCTATTTTATTCATTTGTTGGTTAGTATATGTAATGCGATGAAGAGAGATGATAAAATAGAGAGATAGAAGAGAATAGATGATATAGATTGAGTGGTTACCGGAGCGCATATTATATAGCAAAATGATTCCTATCTTAGACATGCGGTCAAAACTGTTTAATTTTGAAAAAAAAATTCAAAACGGGGTATTTCAAATTAACTCTGAGTGATATTCTCCTGTGACACACACACACACACACACACACACACAAAAACACACACACACGCACACATAGTCTGTATACGATATGCATGTGTTGAAACGTATTACTATATTTTAATAAACAACAATTGACGTGTAGTGTTCTTCGAGCCATCGGTCGCCGTCTATTGCTATCGTGACGCAATCATGCGTTTCAACAAATAAGATGGGATTACCGATATATGAATATTATTTTAAAATATCCCCATAGTCAAATTTGTAGGTTTCTAACTTTGTAATCTCTGAATATCCATTCATATCATAATCTTCGTGCTGTGTTGTAACTATACTGAGACCTTAGAAGTTATATCTCAAGGTTGGTGGCGCATTTACGTTGTAGATGTATATGAGCTCCAGTAACTACTTAACACCAGGTGGGCTGTGAGCTCGTCCACCCATCTAAACAATAAAAAAAAATCGAGAGCATTTTGTTATAAACTATAAATTTCGTCAACATCCGTGTTTAGAGACACGCACAGCACTCGTGCGTTCGGTTTTAAAGTTGTTATTCTTCTAGCTGATATCTCAAGGTGGAAGGGATTCATAGGTTAAAGAAACAAGAAATAATCTCGGAAAACTATGCCTCGTCTTGTTTCTATAATCGCCGTCTTACGTTCGTGGCAGTAAGTCGTTTACGTACTTAGTCTGGCCATAAATACTGTTACAACTAAAAATAAACAAAACATTACATTTGAATTTGGAATCTGTCATTTTTATATGATTGGTCATTGAGTTTTCTCATTTTGGCGCCAATACATTGTACAATATTTTGCGATATTAAAATGGAGTGGGGTTATAAAGAGAACCGAATCGCTGTGATTGCATTACACAAAGTAGGTATGGAGCCAAATGCAATTTTTAAAACTCTCCATACGCTTGGTATTAGTAAAATGTTTGTGTACTGGGCTATTAATGAATTATGGTCAGTTTTAGATAGTACGGCTTGCTCTAAGCGCCATGATAATTTGGAGTCCCTAAAACAATCCGTACGATCGGCAGTGAAATTTTTTCCCATGAAAAGAGTGCGTGCTTCTATTGATAACTGGCCTCAACGTTTAAAGGACTGTATTGCAGCCAATGGAGACCACTTCGAATAAGCTTTTTTTATACTTTAAATTGTTTTATATTTATGTATTAAACTAACACACTGTAAAAGTAATAAATGTTATTTGCAATAGAATTATTTTTTTCCTTTGTCTCAGTATTTATGGCAAGACTAGGTATAATAAAACAGTTTTATCACTAAGAAACGAGAATGTTTGTTTTTGTGAGCCGAACATTTCGACTACGATATTCTGTGAAGCGGTTATAATTTTAACGTTTTTATATGCTGTCGTGAAGGCGTGATCTATGGTCATGCTAAGATGAACTCAATCAGTCAACGGCCGTGAAGACACGGGCGTGCCGGAGAAGCAGGAAATAACGTCACGACGAAACGTATAGGAGCAGCAACGATAGACGGAAGTGAAACGCCATTAATAGCCTATAATGTTTACTAAACAATGATACTATATGTTTCAGTTTTATTGCATTGATAGCTCACACCCTAACGTGTGTAGGTGAGCTCACGGGGCTCAAAGCGGAATGTTGCTAACACTGACCCTAGCAAGAGCAGTGCTTCGCAGAATCTACCACCGGATCGCAAGCGAGGGGTTCGACGAGGACGGTGACTGGTGCTTGTGGTGCCTAAAAGCACGGTTAATTGAACAGGAGGATCCGTATGACGTGCTTTGGACGACGTCGAGGGACAGTTTGCTTCG